ATACTGCATTTGTACCATCATGGCTATTTTAGCAGCAAATCGTCGAGACGACAACGATTGATTGTACCAAGCAAAAAAGACAAAAATTTTAGTGATATTATTATAAATCAACGGACAGCATTTGCATTTGGAAAATGAAAAGCACATGAGAGACAGTAGAAGAAACAGCCTTATACACTGTTAGAAAAATGACCGTTAACGGTATTACCGGCGTTTCAGTGGCCGGTCGGCACGTGAAAAGAAACACCGTGTTGCCGTTTTTATTCTAATTTAACACCAGAAATCCGTAAAACATCTGATGAAAACGGCGAAACAGTTTATTTTCACGGGGCGACCGGCCACTAGGATGCCAGTGGGACCGTTTTTTCACCGTTTTTTCTAGCAGTATAGTAGTAGTACATGGCGGTCGATCTTAGGAACCTGGGCCTATACTTTCAAAAAAAGTTAAGAGATCGTAAGTTCAGCAGCCAATCATTGACGGCCTTTCAAGCAAAATCCACCAATCATAGACAAGAAAATAGAGCGTAAGTACTTACGTTCACTTAGCGAGTTTTGAAACTATGGCACCACATGATCTCCGAGTGGTCAGAATAATTCCAGTAATCGTGTTCACCGAGCGCTCTTATACTGCAGATGATGTTGTACACATTTTTTTATTCTTCCTACAAATCATAAACTATCAGTAGTGTAGGTACTAACATTATCAGACTATAAATCGTAGCAAAGATGTGCATATTGACGATGCATTGACACAGTATTAGGATAATGACTGTCTGGCAGAGATTCATCATCAATAGGTATAATTGGAAAGCTTTATTCAATTCTTATCGCGTCAATTCTTCGTGAATTAAAAGACAACCAAGCCTAATTTTTACGAAGTGTTCTCGAAAATAATCTCAATGGGATTTATCGATAAATAAAGGAAAATTGTATTTAAATTTCATTAGTAATATTATTAGACAGCTTGCTATTCTACAAAATAGAATTAAATGATTCGATGTTTCAATTGGGCAAACATTTTACTGATCTCATGGCATCCTTCACTTGCGTTCGTTCCTTCAATATTGACAAATATTCATTTTTAGCGCATTTTCTCATTTATGGAAAAAATGCACTATTGTGCTCGCCATGTCTGTCCGTCCGTCTGTCCGTCCGTCCGTGACCTCAAGTTTTCGTCGACGAGAAAATGCGCTCTCTGTCACTCACTGTAGTGAGTACTGGGTTATATTTTTCTAAATAGTATCGGCTAATTCGGCTTCACAAGGCTTATGCAATATTTTGCAACCGTGTTTTTAGGTTCGAATGGCCATGGTCGACCAACTAGTCAGGCTCTCAGCTGTTCGTCACACTCGTGCTGCGCTCATATCCGACAGAGGGCGCTGTATTCGACTACACTAATGGCTTTATTTTAAATTCAAGTCGCACTTGACATTGGTCGCAAATATCACGTTTGTTTTTTAGATTTACTCATCAGCAGAACATCAAATTAGATAGTGCACATGACAAAGAGCATCAAATATCGCAATAAAACATAATTCGTTTGATTTACGGAGCATCATTGATATGAGAGTAATTTAATGAATGCAAAAATAAAGTAAGGTCACATAAAAACGCAATCTAAATGACAATACAGGCGATTTCTCGTCCAATGTAGGGTGACAATCGGCTACATTGGAAAAATTCGTAACCAGTGCAGAGATGAAGCAAATAAATTCATTAACTGATTTTAAATGCTGCCCATGTGCCCATGAGATTAATTACTTTATTGTTGAAACAGAAGTAACGGGAATGATGATTTTGCAAGTTTAGTTGCCCTCAGACCAACCCCAAAGCTAAATTCTAATCGATAGCCGAGGCAGCCTTCCTATTGGTCCAGAGCATATCGCGCGATCCCCTCCTTCAGCAACAACCAATCCTGAGAGGCTGCAACGCGGGTAATGAACCAATGGCAGCGACCGGAGCGCGTCACGTGACCGATGACGTTGCACCTACCGCGAACACAGCAGGTTTGCGCTGACTGACCGATGAACGTTTTTACAGCAGTAAAAGCACGTAAAAGAATCCATATTAAAGTTCTACATGACATATTTTTACGGAAAAAAACTCGTTTTTGATTACACTCAACTATTTAAATACTGCTACATTGATGAGTAAGAAAGAATAATGTTTTCAAATGGATAGATTCATTTTTTCGTTATTCATCAGTGTGACTGTGTGACCGCCCCGGCAGTAGGATGACATGCCGCTGCAAACCTCTACCACATGGTGGCAGGGAATTATTGTGAGTATAGCTGTCAGCTGACTTTCTTCAGAAGTGCAAAAGCTTTTGCCGGTGAAGGTCACAGAAGGTGTGTTTTACGATCGGTCCGTAAAAAAGCGTTGATCGGTTCAAAATGACATAAGAACAGGTTCTTTTGAATAACCTATGGATTGCCACCATGCTCTACCAAGTATAATTAAAGATAATTCGCATTTAATTTTCTCATCAGACGAGTCAAGCCGTATGTTTTAATCTATAAAAAACTCATAAAATGCTATGTACATTTATTACACTGAAAACACCATGCGATTCATGCCATTCACCGATATACTATTAGTTACCTGCGTCGAAAAATTCTTCCATGTTGGTTAGTTGAATCAACAGCCGATTGGAATTAACACAAATTTAGGAACCCGTGATTTCTCTGTGTAAAGAACAATCAGAGATAGGCACTTTACTTGCCCGAGCCAATGTAAGACCGAGACACAATGAGGTCGACTGAAGTTTCAACACTTGCTTCATGAAGCATTGAAGCTAAACACACAATACACATATCTATAGAAGGGATGGTATAGTGATTTAAAAAATGACGACTCAGACTATTCTACTTTTTATTATGAATGCTAAAGCTTCGATAACGTCATTCCAGGCCTCACTGGTTAAAAAAACGAAATGTTTCTAAACACCAAAAAAATAAATGAACGTACCTAACATTCTGATACGAAGATCTTCAGTTGCAGTGAACATCGCGAATTAGATAACCACGATCTAAAGCATCATCATCATGTAAAATAAAATTATTTAGACCACAAATTCACGCATGTAGAGTGCAGCTAACCGTCACGTCCTCACACAACAACTTCCATTCTACGACTGGAGAATTTGAGACTGGAACCCCACTCGGCTAGACACGCTAGCATATAACAACGGCACCTCAGCATAGTCGCTATTACTTCTTCGCCTTTCAGTTTCAGTGTGAAGCAAGAGCACTCATCGTTAAAGGGAACTACTCTATAGACTTGTCGCACCTTCAACAATCAACATTGTCAGTCAATTGATAGACAAGAGTCCTTAGACGAAGAGGTTGTCTCATTAAGCTTTCTTATATGGATGAAATACGGTCACCGTATCATATAATAATAATAACAAAGAAAACAACTTGTACGAATGGTAAAATTACATACAATTGAATTGTATAAGAACTTAACATATTTACTTCGCACATAATAAATTTAAATTAAAAATCAGTTCGGTTAAAATACAAAACCGTTCTTCAGGAACCGCTGTTCATTGCTTTTAAAAAGGCTCATTTAGTTACAATAGACAAAGTTCTTAAGGATAGAAAAAAAAATTAGATTAGTACTCACTGCAGTGAGTGACAGAGAGCGCATTTTCTCGTCCGTCTCTGAAGTCACGGACAGACGGACGGACGGACATGACGAACACATTAGCGCCTTTTTTCCATAAATGAGAAAATGCGCTAAAAATGATGAGAGTGTTGAAAGCCAGCTCATTCCGAGCGACTGGGAAGTCATTGCTAGTTGTGAAACAATGCGGCAGAGACCCATATATATAGTTCAACCATGGCAGAGACCGTTCAGGTCAAAGAGTACATTTCCGAGTCATTGATTGACAGGAGAAACGATACTTCTCTTGGCACCGGAAAGCAGTGCAATTATTCAGGGTACATGAATAACTTCTGCTTGACGTTTTATAACGATTTTAAAACGCGTTAGCCATGCACTGGTAGAATTTATCCATTCATTTATTTCATTGATGTAAGACAACATCAGAGCATTTTCTGTGAACTACAATATAATGCAAATAATTTAAAATACGACTATTTGAGACTAGCACATCGGAAGCGCCTTGTTAACTATACATATACAGTAAACTGTAACAAAACTGTCTTAACATTACCAGCAATTTTCTTATCGCATGACGTTTAAATAATTTTTTCACGAATATTTTGATCGCAACCGATGAAAAAAAATGGATTTTCAATAACCTACATCGGGATCTTAGCACATGAATGTCAAAAGATATAAATAGTGACTAAACGACTTCGGCTTACTCAGCTCGCGTCAACGACTCGACGCTGTGAAGGCACTTCACATGCAGCCACCCAAAGACAACAGCTCATTACGATAAACTGTACTTCATGTACAACTGCTTACTTCAGCAGCGCGTTAGTGAAGAGTTAAGCCCACTGCGATTTATGGGGTGTTTTATGAAAGATCAGATTCAATTATTAGAATAATTTATTTATTTCTAAAATAAATTAGTATGCAATTACTTCAGATGCAATCGATGCTCCAAGTTCCAACAGTGAAGTTCCAATTGTTACCCATAAACGTTTCCATGAGCATCTTTCATCATTTGGGCACTTGAGACGGAAAGTGTGGTGTACGTAGATTTCAAGCGTAATGCAAGTTTCATTGATACGAATTAATAAATACATTTTAGTATAGAATGATTAAATTACGTCATAGCTTCGCTTGCAAAGTTCCTCCGTAGACGTGACCTTGCCACTTGTCCATCACTAGATTGCAGTCCATGCGTGGAATTCTTGGAGCGATCACAGCTCTGATTTCTAGCAAACACACTTCCATAAACGTACGCCAGAATCATAACACTAGAAATAAACATGTTTGCACTAGAGTCTCGGTTCTATCGATAACTTTCATCTCGGAAAACTCCTCTCGGTTTGCTGATGATGCAGGGAAAAGGAAACAATCTATGTATATATTCATTAATTCTTCCATTTTCAGGTCCTTATGAACCACGACAGCCTGACTTAAAAATCAGGTCGCTTCTTCTTCTTAAACTTTTTCCTCCTGAGTGTAGGGTCTTTTCTGCGCTCCTCCTTTAGGTCCTGGCGCTTCTTCTGGCTGTTCGACATGTCCAGCGTCTCCAGGCGCTTGTGCATCAGGTAGCCTGGCCGTGAAATCACATTAATTACATGCCGACAAGTAACCATTGACCAATAGAGTAATTATCATGGGTACGTTTTTATCAAGAAAATTCAAGTGGATATTAAATCTCGTGCTAGACGGTAGGGAAATAATTTGCTGACTCCACGAATACAAGTATTACTTACTAACTTAAAAAAGTGAAATTTATACTCCAAAGTCTAAATGATCACTGACACTGACCATCCCACCGGAAGTGTAACGAAAAACAAAAATTTATAATTGTATCCATTCCGAATATCGGTGACATTTTAATGTGTTAAAGTATTTAATTTCAGTAACATGAAGAAACTACGCAAAACAATGAGGACAAAAAGCTGAGTACAACAAGCAATGAGAAAATGAGTACAAAAAGCAATGAGTACATTGCACGATTATACAATATGACTAGAAAGATAAGATAAATTTAAATCCATCTGAGCCAGTGCAGGTACAGCAGAAGCTTCACAAATCAGTCCTCTTATAGTGTTAGTGCGACTTGGAATCAACGCGTTAAAGCAATTACAATTTGTGAAAGAATTTGACGCAATGTATGTTCTAATTATAAATTTTTAGGGCTGAAAATATCACGAAGCTCCAAGCGAGGAAACCCGATGAAATGCAGGCGCATTTGTTGCATGCATCAATAAATAAATAGCATAAAAATTGAGCAAGAAAATTTTCAGAAATTTCAGCTCTAAAGAGCCTGGCTATCGACAAGAAATTCAACTAACTGCTCACCTTTAATTGTCATGCCAGCAGCAGCAGCAACCGATGAGATCTTCTTTGTTTGGATAATTTCATCCTTTAGTTCGGCATACTTTTTGTGTTCCTTCATTTTTTCTTCATGCTTCCGTCTTTTTTCTTCGATTTTCTCGAGCCGGTCCTTGATTGTGGTTATTTCCTTCTCTTTAGCGTTTTCGGACTCAGCGACGAGTATCTGCTGTGTGGCGGCGTACAGAGTTTCTAGTCGCTCCTGCCAAACCTGCACCGCCTCTGCTCATACAAACATTACATATTGTACATATTGTACAACCTCTACAACATTCTACACTATAATTAACCATAACCCATTTAAAGGCACAGCCGAGCAGGTCCACCTGCACCGCCTCTGCTCATACAAACATTACATATTGTACAACCTCAACAACATTCCACACTATAATTAATCATAACCCATTTGAACACACATCAGAACAGGTTGACTCAGCTTTTACATAATGAAAAATTTACTTCCTGGAGTCCCTGACACGACAGACAGATTGTCATAGATCATATGAAAAAAAGACGTATAGTATAGACAGATGTCAGTTAATGAGATGAAGACCAAGTAATTCTGAAAGTGACCAATACCCTACGATATTTGGGACAATTGGTGGAAGATCCCAAACAGAGTCGACTTTTACCTTTGAAGAAGAGAAGGCTAGACCCCGAAAAAAAGAAAAAAGTAAGTTCGCCACGTGGTGAGAATGAATAAATAAAAAGAATCCATCAAATGTTGTAAAATATAAAAAATCGTACCAATAATCATGAAAGTCAAATGCACTTACGAAGGTCAATTTTGCGAAGGTAGACGACGGTTTGAGACATCTTCCTGATAGCCTTGAGATGCTTGTACTCGGAGTCCGGCACAAGACTGATGGCCAGGCCGTCACGTCCTGCCCTGGCCGTGCGCCCCACACGGTGTACGTACATAGCGTACGAGCTGCTCAGCTTGTAGTTGATGACGTTGTCAACGCCCTGGATGTCGAGGCCGCGAGCAGCGAGGTCAGTAGCGAGCAGGACGCGCACTTTGCCGGAGGAGAAGAGAGCGAGGTTGTGTAGGCGGCAGCTCTGGGACAGCTTGCTGTGCAGCTCAGCTACAGCCAGACCACACAGCCGTAATGTCACGTACAGGCGATGACACAGATCCTGTACATGAGCATAACTTTAATATTGTAAGTAAGCACAGGATTAAGTATTTATCATATGCACGGCGTCTCTCACAAGGGTGGCCACAAGTCTTGAACAAACAGATCCAAAGCTTCTAAACAGCACCAGTCACATAATTAACTTGTGAAGATAATTCTAAAATATGAAGTCCTGCAAAAATAAACTATGCAATCGATAGCGATACAACTCATTTTTGCAACTAAAATGTAAGTTATAAATTAAACAAAAATTTCTAATTTGAACGTTTAAAGCACTTTATGATACACTATAATGACAATATTGTAACCGATGGAGATAAAAAGACATGAGTGGAGGCTCTATTCAACATCTATTTCACAGTCATCACCCCTGTTTCATCCACTACAAAACGAATAAATAATTATTCAGGATTAGCACTACAGGAAAAAATGACATGGAAACCTCAGTCACTTGCACTTTATAAAGATATGAGACACGAGACTCCGTTCACACGGCACACCTTGGAGGGCAGGAAGACGATGGAGTTGTTGGTGAAGACGTGCACGAGCAGGTACACGAGCACAGCGTTCCTGGCTGTGTACGAACCGTCGCTCATTGCGATATATTCCTGACGCAGATTCTGGGCCACTTTTGTGTTGCTGTTGATAAAAATCTGTAGACGGAGGACATGTATTAACGAATGAAGATATGAGATTAAAGCAATTAACACAAGGGCGAGTATTAAACATATTAAAATAGATACAAAAGAAGTACCAGAGATGCTTTTCCCCACTTCTAGTGAGAACAAAAACAACCGCCTGGGAAAGGAGCGAATTATTACGTAGCTTTTGGAAGACTATTCCAGTCGTTGTATCCATTTTAATTGGAAACTTTTGCGCCATAATTTATGAAATTATTTCCTCTGAACAAATAAAACGAAAAAAACAGCAGTAAATTTTGATACTCAATTCCACCAGTGACCACGGTATTGAAAATATATATTTATCAAGGACTACTACACACAGGACATGCACGCTTTGGTTTCAGTGCTTGCTAGCGAAGGCGAGTGCTTTCGCGTCGTTTCCCGGTGACTCATCGTGTCGATTTCGCGTAGTGATCTGAGCTAAAATAATGTCAATATTCTCGACCATTTGCCATTCTATTTTGTATCTCAGCATAATCCTTGGAAGTCATGATACTGTTAAGCAATCAATAAACGGCTGAATCTAGTTGAATCAATGTCAAAGTTTTGATCTGAAAAGTTTTGAATGAATGTTCCGGTGTTGAAGTGAATTATTGTCACTATGCCGAACAAGTGTGGAATTGTAAATTGTACTGGAAACTACGACGATTCGACCAAGTGTAGAATACCAAGTGTAGTAGTCCTTGATATTTATTTAAGAACAATACGTAAATCACGCCACATACTAGATCTACAATACGTGTCGTGCAGTACAGTATCTACATAAAAATATTATAAATTTTGACAAATAATCTTTGGAAATAGTTAGAGCTATCAATGTCAAGTAGGTATGAGCGTATTTTTTTCTAATTTTGCTGCAAAACGCGGCAATTGTTCATTGTTTGCTAACCTTGACGGGTTCTGCGAGTGCGGCCGATGCGATTTGCTTGACTTCTGTGGTCATGGTGGCCGAGAACAGCAGCGTCTGGCGCTTGGGGCTGCAGTTCTTAATGATGAGCTGCATCTGGTCTTGGAAAAAGTTATCTAGGATACGGTCCGCTTCATCCAAGATCAACACCTGAAAAATAGTATATTGTAGTGAACTTACTAATCAACGCTTCAAGACTGAAATTCAAAAGGCAAGTAACAGCAATACAAAAAGTTGTTCTAAAAAAACGTTGGTCATAGAAACGAGAGGAAAGAGAACGAAACTGCAAAGAATCTTACCTACGTCACACATTGACCTGATCAACTGATGTAATAGCTCATGTTCTAAGGCAGGGCGCTCGCAAACAACGCCTTTAGCAGTGCTAAATTCCCATAAACATCTAATAAACAAAGACAGACGTCACAGAAACTTCGGCGAGTTTCTATGACAATAGACTCGTACCAAGGGCACAAGTCTATACCCCAGCTCGACTAGAGCACAGCCACTACCGCACCTCGACATGCTGCAGAGTGCAGCCACTACCGCACCTCGACATGCTGCAGAGTGCAGCCACTACCGCACCTCGACATGCTGCAGAGTGCAGCCACTACCGCACCTCGACATGCTGCAGAGTGCAGCCACTACCGCACCTCGACATGCTGCAGAGTGCAGCCACNGAAGTGACTGTGGAAAGCCCAGCCCACACCTGTGTTGCCACTGCCATCGATGCTGAGGACGCTGCCTTCATTGAGGACTGCATTGAGCCTTCACTCTCTATCCACGAGGAGAGCAGCGCAGCCTATGTGGCAGGGTGGTTGGAGATGAAGTGCGCGGAACAGCTGAACTTCAACGAGGAGGATGAACAGGTGCCCACAGAAATAAGTGCCTTCATCAATGAAGTTTCTCGAGGCTCTCTCACAATCCCCCATCAATCCACCTTTGACCTTGTGCGGTGTGGACTGGCCTTCATCAGCAAGGCCAGGCACAGGGCCTGCTGCTGCAAGAGACTTATGATGGTTCTGCAAGTGATGGAAGACTACAATAACCTCAACACTTGCTACAAGCTAAAAAAACACCTAGCAAATGTGCTTCTTAGTGGTTTGCATAACTTGGAGAGGGATCAGCAAACAAATGCAGTACTCTTTCAGACGTCAATCAAAAAGGCGCGCTTGTCAGATTAACCCTTCATTTGGTAAGCCAATGCTTTTCTTAATCCTTATGTTTTGTTTCTGATTTATTTTTTTCCAAATTTGTTTGTGTGTTTGTTTGCTTGACTAACCCCAATAATGCCAGACGCCAGGCGGAGCAGCCACTAGATTGCCAATTTTAAAGTCTTAGGTATGGTCATACTGGCCGGGATTCGAACCCACGACCTCCTGCTGGTATATTTCAACAAATTCATACATGTACTAGTTTAAAATGTTGTTAGTCATGTTATATAGTTTATTACAAGCACTACATCCACAGGTTGCTCTGTGGGCATGGTATCGCATGTTTACTCCTTTAATATGATTTTTTACATTGTAATACTATTGTATGAAACAATTATGGGCATATCATTTGTTGATGCCACTAAAACAACAGCATTTTCATAGTGTAGGCGATCGCCTCTGCTAGCAGAGGCTGGACATAGGCTATGCATGTCCTGTGTGTAGTAGTCCTTGGTATATTAGTGATATATCATTCTAAATAAAAGAAAGTGATACATATTTACAATAAACAAACCCGACTTGAAAACCGACTCTTGCAGTGCCTTAAACTGAAAACTTCTTAAATGTAATTAAATGTTTTTCTATCGCTGTAAATATAACCTTATTGTTCGTGCCATTGATCACGTTCATCGTTTTAAACTCACGAACCAATTTCTTGTCGATTCCACGGACTTCCTAACCTTTCTGCAATTAAAATTTAATTTGATAATTCAACTTCGAAATTTAACTCACGTTATTGTCATTATTTGGAACAGCATCATTGAAAACGCAAAAATGTGTCATTCGTAAAACTCATTGAAGTCACCGATAATAGAAGGGATATATTCACAGTATGGTTTATGCTTAAAACAGTTCAGCTAATATTGACGAAAAATTTGTGTCTCTTTGACGGAAAACCAGGACGTTTCTTGTTAAAATTTTTTAATTGAAGGATTTATAGTTTCAGAACTCTAAAGTTTCTAGTCTATTTACATATAACACAAAATATCTACATGAATGTTCATATTTACCGGTGATTATTTCTGTATGTAAAATGTTCAAACAGCAAAAGAAAAACACAGAATCAAAGTTTGTTTCCCATTGGCGTACCTACTGTCAAAATATCTGACTAATGAACCCTAATCAACCCTCATAATTTAAAATTATGTCGTATAATCAAGACTTTAAAGCAAGAAGTTCCAACTTTTTTAACACGTTGAGAGAGACACGACCCAGCGGTGGGTTGCAGGGTCTTCTTTCGGGACAAATTCCGCCATTTAGTTTTTTATTATTTAGTTATTTTATATTATTTAGTTATTTTATTCATGAATTTTTGTCCACTTATTTAGTGGACAAAAATTCATGATATCGGTACTACATCATTAAATTTTAAAAGGAATTTAAAAGCAAAGAAAACGCCAAGAAAATTCACCATATCGATATTGAAAACGTTTCGGAGTCCAGCTCCATCATCAGTTCGACTAAACTACAATGAATAAAATCACTTCAAAAGTCAAAATTCAAAGACAGATTATTGAGACGATTATGCCGAATAAATATTTATTAAGTAATTATAAAACAGTATTCAAAATATGGCCCAATTTGATTGATGCTATAAGAGGCATGCTGCTATTGATGTTATATACGTGTCGTGGGTGACTGCAGGTTATATACTTTATTGCGCTCTAGAAATATCTTGAAAATTGATTGCATAAACTCTTCTGATCTTAATTCTTTTCATGGTACGGCTTAATAGAATATGACAACTCAGTAGAATATAACAGAAAATAAATATTCTTCCCCCCCATGTAGAATTCAATCACTTTTTACTACAGGCTACTACTAGCAGCGATTCATCACTGGAACAGGTGAATAAAATTTTGATTTGTAAATATTTTCAGCCATTTTAAATTGGAATTTGGGAAGATTCATCTCTGCTGAAGTGTTTAGGAGAATCCCATCAGTCATCGGCAATGCCAGCAAAATTTTGTCGCCTGACGGTCGTCTATTACTTTCATATCAGTCCAGAGACAATGCCAGGGCTTCTTTATGGTTAATTCAAAGGACAAAGGAGCGTCAGTTCTCAAGATAATATCACTGCGGAGATATTCGTACTAGGAATTGACTGCTGCTATCGATGAGCATAGATTTGTTTCTTTGTGTCCTAGGAGGCACAATGGAAACCCTGCACTCGACAGCCTGTTAAGACGCTGTTACACCTGAGAATGAGCTCGTTCAGTCACGAGTCCGAAAGCATTGCATGGTTTCTGTCGTCGACTAACGACTGTTTCCACTATTTTTACGATAAAAACAGCATCCCAAGTTCCTAGACACTCGAACTGCTGCGCTGTAGCATTTCGGTCCCAGGCCTGAGAACCCCTTTCCGGTGAACTCAGAAAGTGTTTGAAAGGAGATGGTTTCCCTTGGAAAAATTAATACATATAGTTCTTGATACAAAAATTAAAATTATTTTAATTACTAAGTTAGGCACTACGTTTTTAAAATTAGTAGAGAGATTTCACTCATGCTTGTGCTCTAATTTTGTACAGCCACTACAAATCAATGCTGAAAAAGTTACATTTAGAGAAGAAAATCCATTAGAATTCAAGGGTACTTATTTTGCTGACGATTGTGATATATTTATCCCCATATGTTCAAGCCTGGACTGCGGCAGTGGTTTGACCCAGCCTCGTGAAGAAACATTGATAAAACGTGTAGTGATAATGTCACTAGATTGCTTGAATCGCATATTCAAGTTATGAGGTGTAGTTATGATATAATATATAAATTATGATAGTTATGATATATCTAATTCTGTTTCACTACGGTAAAAATTACTTCATGGGTATCAACAGTGGTTGTGGGGACTCCATTACGCACTTCCATTCACAGTAGACATTATCGCAGCCCTTGATGCACATGGAGGAGTGTAATCAACAGCCTTTCCCGTGGCCACGCCAGACGCTTCACGGGCGCTGGCCGATGCAGAGGACCACAGAACAGGTTTTGGTTACATGTGACCTGGGAAATATTCACGAAGTTCTTGCCGGGCCCAAATAATGTTTATTCAGAAAAGGTCATCCTCGGGATGCACGGCGGTCTTCCAATAACAACACATGACTTCCTTACCTGTATCGCTTCATAGCTATCGCTAAGCCATCTTTGCCATTTGAATCCTGAACTTCTGAGAGGAGTTATCGATCAACAAATGTATCATATGAGCATTATTTATTTTATTTTCAATTGGTTGTTTTATTTGAATAGAATTGATTATGTTGTTAAGGCTTGGTCTTTTGTTATTATCTTTCCTCCCGTTATGGTTCTGTCCTAAATTGTAATTCATCCGTGACGAATAGAATAGCACTTTCTCGTAAAGAGAATTCGAATAACGGGTTATTTTCATTCTTCGAGTGAAGAAATGACTCAAATAATGAAAAGTGAAATTAAATATAATTGATAGTTTTCTGCCCTACAGTTGACCAGTATAGCCTTAGATATTCAATTCTTCAACAGTGGAGAACAACTGATATCATATGTGTCATTATTGTGCATAGCATATTACAGCTGAAACCCTTAAGTGATTTTGCAATTGGCAGCAGCAATATTTTCCAAGTCATTTTACAAGCATTTTAAGGTCAACAGATGATCTCATTTGCCATAAGGCATTCATTACGCAAATAAAGTTCAAAGAGCTTATGATTAGATTATTTCTTGAGTGAAGGACAGTTTGAAGTGTTGTTAATACCTCCTTTCCCTCAACGTTACCGCTATAAAACTGGAGACGACTCGCTGTTACCTCCATACCCGATCTGGCTGGAGTGGGAGAGGTGTAACAGCCAAGGTGTCGCGTAGTGAGACACTCGGTTGTTCTTGTCAGGAGCTGCTCAAATTTGTGTAGTGGTTGTAACAATGGTAAGTTTTCCTTGATAGGTTTTTACTTCTAAATGTTTTTTTCATTGAGATTGCTGAATAAATATTGACTTTCGCACGAAATTGAAGTCCTCTCTCCCCTATTTTTACAACGCTTCTCTTTAACATTACTTCTTGTTTGTTTGTTTATTTGTCTGCTACAAATTTTATAATCGATGTGTAATACACTTCTACATGTCCAATCGACCTGAAATTTTGCATACTTGCGTGAAGTCGTAAACAATGCATGAATCAATTTACAGAATAAATAATTTAAAAAAAAGAAAAATATATAAATTAGAAAAAAACGTTAAAAAAATAATTTTTCTATATATTTGAAAATAAAGAAAGAAATTAATTGTACATTAGTAACATCGGAGACACTGGCTTCTTTAGAAGTGTTGTCTTTAAGAAGTAATTTTTAAACGCATATTATTATTATTACTTCTTTTTTCTTTGTTATTACGTGTTCATTTTAAACTGAACGCCAACAACATAAAAGACGTGTAAAAATGGCACTGCTCTGACTAGTTTTTTGAGTCTTTCAGGCAGTTAAATTTTTTCGGTCACGGAATCGGGGTTTTCTCCAACTTACTTTCAACTTGTAGACAAGAACTAAGAGGTTAGCGTGTAGCCTACATGCGTGATATGTATATATTTTATAAAGACATATTTGAAAAGATGATAACTTCATCACATCAGACATGATTTTGAGTCGTAAAGATTGAAAGAAGCCAATTTCGCATTCATTTCAGTTCTACGTATAGTTGCAGTCAATTGCGTCAGCGATACCAGGCCAATTGTATTTACCAAGAAAAAAATGAACAAAAAAGTAAAAGAAAAAATATCTTTGCTCAAAATAGCAAATAAATAATGAATTATACATAAATTGAAGACATAAACATAAATTATATGACAAAATTATGTCAGAATTTAACAGACATAATTGATACTTTAATTATTTTAATTTAATTTTTAATTTAACGGACATAACAGACATTTCAACATAAAACAGAAGACCTAATTATACTACATAAATTGAAATATGTATTCGAGAAACGAGTACTTAACAAATTTATATTTTAGTAAGTCTCTTAATAGGCAAAATTGTCTACTCGTAGTGCAAAACTGAATATTTTTTCTTTATCAAGCCATAAAAGACTTTACCGGTCAGGCATTAAAGTAATTTATATATAAGAGAGGCGAAGGCATTTAAACTGCAATTTACAATATGATTGCGACTGAAGATGCTATTAAGTATCTTTAGCATCGTTAAAAAAACTTTGGTTCGTAATTTACAGTGGTAAGACTTCGGGCGACAGAAATTTTTTTACGCGCAATGCGAAGTTCATGAGACGACAAACTGTATTAATAATAACAAGTTTTGGTAACATTTTCTGACAGGATTACTTGGATTTACGAAAAAGCATCTCAAAATTCATACATGGTCAAAGAACCAGCTCACTCTCGGTTGTTTCCTAAGCATTACCCCCGAAGGTAATTTCCGAGTCGTATTATTGATTGCAAGTTGGCTAACATCCATGTCTGCATTGAAGCTAAACTTTTGTCCATTATCACATCCAAACGTGTTCATTTAATGTTATTTCGCAACTGATGTTCGCTATTTATCAGCAATCGGCATAAAATTACGAAATGTCGAAATTAATTTGTCAGATGTTTACGCAGAAAAATCGTATCACGATAACCTGCGTATTCATATTATGGGTAAATGATATAAACATGTTTTGACCTTCACTCGTCGATCGCTGCGGATCCCTTTTCCTCGCGCGCATCCGAAGTCACCCAAGCGCCGTCGCCGCGGGGGCTCGCAGACGTCAGGCATATGGTCTCCATGGACAGCTTTTTCATCGGCCAGATAAAGAAAGCAAGTTGGGTGCCCAACTCAGTGGCTGCGAGGAAAGCTAGCCAAGGATGAAAGTGAAAGGCTCTGGATTTTCAATGCATGGATCGTGTTCCAACATTAGTCCGCTTGTTTGCAAGCACAGGACGCGGTAGCAATAAACATAGAAGTAAAGTATGAGACGTTCTGTCCACGCCTACCTCAGGGCAGTATCTGGTCACATTACCTTTTGTATTTTGTCAAAATCTATTGAATCGATGGTGATCACTGCCTTACAGACTGTAATGCAGATTAATCTTGGACGTTTAATATGTAATTATACTCGTATATCACAGGCTACAAATTGACGATGTGACCGCAAAGGATTTGCATAAAAGTTAAAGGGCAGTTCCTTTGTTCAAAGTTGCTAGAACTTACATTCTCACAGAATCTCCGACAGAAGTGGTGCGATTAAATAGGGTACGGTAGCGTGAACTGCATGTCCATGACAGGGCAAGATAAATGAGCTCAATTGTCGTCGTCTGGGATAGAACACGGCTCAACCGCCTTCCGCGTACGGCAGTCGTTCGTCTTACGTCATGCCGCATGACGAGCTTTAAGTGAGAAAAGAACAAATTTAATGAGGCTCTCCCAGCGAAAGTGAAAGATGAATGGTATCTAGGCTACCGCATTACATAATGCCCCTCATGATACGATCTGTTAGAGTACCTGCTTATGTAGGGCATGGATGACTTTGAATACTGTTCAAATTAGCCTCGCTTGTACATATTTCTTTACGCCTATAAGAAAATTAACTCAGAATTGAACGCAAGAAAAGGGAGAAGAAAATTTGGGATTGGCTTAGGAAAACTCTTTCCCCGATCTGATACGGTTTGACTTGTGGGCGGAGTGTCACGATGTCGTCCTTCTTCTCTGTCAGATTTAGCAACGTAAGCCAGCGTTCATTCTGGCGTGGAACCGACTTACCCTCCATCATACGGCAACATTCACAGTGTGTCCTCTACTACAGTTCTTGATAATTAAATGACTTGTACGAACACATTTACATGTAAACGGAAGGAAGATTGAAATTACCAACGTTAAAATTTTCGCTTACTTTCTGTCATAGAATATGCGTTTAAAAATTACATTTTAAAGACAATACCTCTATGGAATCCAGTGTCTCCAATGTTACACACGTATTTCTGTTTTTATTTTTCATTACTAACAAATAATTTTCAACTTTTTGATATTAAAAAAAATTTACATTTTCAAAATTATTCATTCTGTCAATTGATTCATGCATTGTCTCCGACTTTACGCAAGTGTGCAAAATTTCAGATCGATTGGACAGGTAGAAGTGGTTTAAATATCGATTATAAGATTTGTAGCAGACAGACAAACAAACAAACAACAAGAATTGAAGTTAAAGATAAGTGCTCTAAAAATACAGAGGAAAATTGCTGTCATCCCTTACAATAGTTTCATAAAGTTAAAAATGTGGAAGTTTTACAGAGATTTTTTCTGAGCACGAGGTGTTTGTGGGGGATATTACTCAGGTTTATGTAATGTAGAAAAATTCGTGCGCTATAGTGAACATTCCTTCATTGGATAAAGTCATCAAATAATGATGAAATTAATGAAAATACTGGTTACATTTTTTTACTCAACTGTTAGAAGGTCGCCTTATAATAATTATTCCTGACGTTGTAAATACCTATGCAACTATTTATGGCGAAAACATGTTTATAATAAAAAGTAAAAATGTCATATTTTTTCTTTTAGGGATAATTGGATCTTGTAATCAAATTTTGAACTAAAATATTGCTGATTTTGTTCGTATGACCTCAGATGTTGAGACCAGGCTTGATCTAATCTCACTTCTCCGATTGGGTCAAGACGTAGAAAGGGTGATTTGTTCTCAATAAGAATTCGCTTCTCTTTAACCTTTCACGTCTGTTGCTTGAGAAACTTAAAGCATCTTATTCTGATTTCTGGTGTCAAAATTTATACACTAACTATTGACTAGTTGACAAAAATTATATTATTTAAATGATAAATATTTCTGAGGAGAGTTTGTCGTATAAAAGCAAGGATTCGCGTAGAATACAATTTACTCGTGAACTTCAATTATTTGCATCACGCATAAGAAAATGTAATAAACACACTGAATCCTTAACCTTTAGCTCAAAAGGCCATTTGTTTAACCTACTCTGGTGCTGCATGATTATCGTATGCATGCAAATCGCACATGTCGCCGATATCTTGGGAGCAAGGAGCGTAGTCCCAGACGTAATATAGGGTCTATAGTTAGACGTAATATAGGGTCTGATGTCAGACGTAATATAGGGTCTAATGTCAGACGTAATACAGGGTTTAATGTCAGACGTAATACAGGGTCTAATGTCAGACGTAATATAGGGTCTAATGTCAGACGTAATACAGGGTCTAATGTCAGACGTAATACAGGGTCTAATGTCAGACGTAATATAGGGTCTAATGTCAGACGTAATATAGGGTCTGATGTCAGACGTAATATAGGGTCTGATGTCAGACGTAATAGAAAGTCTAAGGTCAGACGTAATATAGGGTCTAATGTCAGACATAATATATGGTTTAATGTCAGACGTAATGTACGGTCTAATGTCAAACGTAATATAGGGTCTAATGTCAGTCGTAATATAGGGTCAAATGTCAGGCATAATATAGGGTCTATTGATAGACGTAATATAAGGTGTAATGTCATACGTAATATAGGGTCTAATGTCAGGCGTAATATAGGGTCTATAGTTAGACGTAATATAAGGTGTAATGTCAGACATAACATATAGGGTCTAATGTAGAAAAAGTGCGACCTTCCCAGCCTTTCTTCCACGGACACTACAATCGAATTTTTGTAACGAATTCCACGCAAGGATTGAAACATACAAAATTAGTAAAAAATATCTTGAGGATGACAAATAAAAATCAGAATGCAGGTATAGCCTCAATTTAATTTACTGATTACATTATTTAAAAGTTACGCATGAATGTACCAGACCGAGTATTTTTCTTACAAAGATTTCCACAGAACCTTATCTTTATTTATACCTTGATAAACGAGGTCATTTCTGACATGATTAACTAATAATTATTCTGCCATGATTAACTTTTCCAAATAACATTTTTGCTGTGGAATATAAATTGAAAATCAAGATTTAAGGCCCCTCTTCATTCGGTATGCAATATAATTTCAGCTTGATATTAATTACATTTTTTAGCATAAATTATCTCGAAAACATTTGTTACTTTACATTTTAATTATTAGTGACTTCATGCAAGTTGCGGGTCAATGTCCACGAGAGCTAGGCCATCTGATCTGCGCTCCCATTTTTTTTGCTGACAGTTATTAATCATAGCTGATTAGCTCGTACTTACTCGACTCATATTTACATTACGTCGACACACGCAGTATATCAGAGCCGGACAGATTTGTCTGAAGATAACGTTAATTTAATGGTGCATCTCTTTTAATCTAACATAATAATTTACATAATAAAAAATTCTTTCTGTAATAATAATAATAGTTAATTTTCAAGATTACATTTAACAGCTTGCTCTTTGAAATTGTGAAACTTCACAATTTCATGCTAAACTTCATGCTAAAATCTGCAATGTATAGTTCCCTAATACTAGTGGACGTTTTCAAATAACGGAGGATAAACAGAGTGTTATTGTGTTTTTCTTCCTGTGTAACTCTCAGTATTTAATCATTTGTCTGCGATACTTTAATTCCCCCATTTCATTGTATATGTCTTACATGTTATATAATTTGTTCCGCATGTTGAGCAACCAAAGAAACCTTAACTTTCTAATTAACGCAACAGGGCAATTTGTTCTTATTTCTACCCAGCGATATTTCAAATTAAAAGAACATGCGCCTGGGTTTAGATAAATAGTGAATGAAATGAACCTGCCATCATATGGGGAGCCCACAAGCGAGACTACTTTCTCTGGCAACAGATGTCGCGCATCCTTTTCCTTAATGTTCCCACATCCAAGATCTTGTAGATGCGTCTCGAAAAGTTTCTTATATTTAAAATAACGTCACTTTAAACTTCTTAGATTTAAAACAACGTCACTTTAAACTTTTCATTGTTTGATGAAGCCTGAACACAAAGTGCGGAGACATGCTTGCACTACATACGTAATGTTAGAAGAAATAACCACACCTATCGTATATGTTCGCGTTTCAAACGAAAAATATACAATAAAATCGGATTTAAATGGTGTAATTACATAATAATATTTTTGAATCAATTTGAAACTTTGCTGTATCGTCACAATTGTTCGGAGGAGTGACGCAGTTTATTTTAAAATCAGGACAGGTACTCTAACTGACTGTAGCCAGCAGTTACAGTTGAAAAATAATGGAAATTGTATAATTTAATTCTATAAAATTGTTATTGTTTATCTAATTTAAATGAAAATTTCTCTGCTAAATGGAAGCTCATATGAATGGATCTAATGGACGTACACGCAACGCTACAGAGCCAGTATTTTGTACAAGTGATTCCGGCATATATGAAGTAAAACTGTAATTTCGTTTATCTTTGTCGAACGCATGGCCGCAGAAAGAAGTCTTTGAAGGATATCCAGCCTGTCTACCGATAGCAACTACGCATACATAACTAAATGAGCGCCTTTCACTTTGCGCCTGGAGTTAAACACTGAGAAAAATCTGTCTGTACCTGCGAAACTGGAATGAAAACCGGTTAGCTTTAAGCAATCTCTAACAACGGAAGGGTGGGGCAGAGCTACCTACAAATCACTGTTTGAACTATTTACTGTTATTAAACTATTTAAACCTAAATATCTGAGTTGGTATCGCAAATTATTCATAATATTACAACACATAACATACTAAAAGCTGAGTGCAATGAAAGAAACGTTTGTGATGTCTTTTGATAATTTCAAAATAACTTGAATCCGTGAAATTTCTTGCATAACTACTTATTACTTTTATTCATGAAAATAAATTCAACTGTTAAGCTCGATAAGTTTTAATCGTCAGATTTTTACTGTATTAATATATTTAGTATATTAATATTAACATGAATATTTAAGTTTGCGTTGGAATTAATTTCTAAAGGCAAAATTTTGTTGCAGGCAAGTAACACGCCTATCATAATAGTTTCAGGTGATGTGATTTCATTGCTATTAAGAATAATTTCCTTCCACAGATGACGCTGATTTTGCTATCGGTGGTATCGTGGCTGGCTCATACGACTACAGCACAGTCGTATAAAGTTCCCAGTTACGCACCCGCGCGGCCTTACCACTTCGAGTACGAAATATCAGACGACAAGAGTGGAGACTACCACGGCCACAAAGAGACACAAAACGAGGATGGTTCAGTTACGGGTTCTTATTTTCTATTGTCTCCAGATGGGCTTTGGCGACAGACCAAGTACAGCGACCAAGGCTATGGCTTTCAAGCCGTCACGAACACATTCCCATACGACACACCTCCCAAACAACGCGCAGGAACTACTTACACTGTTTTCCAGTCAGCCGGGAGTGACTTTGAGCCTTTGCCAAACGATGTACTAGGACGACCAGCAGTAAGCGGAGCGTTCGATATTGGGAAAATAAAAAAGCCTTCTCAAGCTCCAGCCCAGCCACTTCTGCCACGACCTGGGTTTGGAAGCGGGTTTCCTCCCAGTCCTGTGGGGAGCGGTGCTCCCCTTCCAATTTTCGGTGGAAATAATGCTGCAGGAGTTAGCCTTGAAGAATCTGGGCCAAATCTTGGGGCAGGTTTCGCTACTGGGCAAAATGTTGTTCCGCCAGCACTCCTCGGTCAAAAGGTTAACGTTGGTTTTGGCGCGAATGGGGCAGGGCAAGAACCTTTTTCCCAATCGTCGGGCTTTTCAAAGTTTTCCCCAAACTCTCATGGACCCGCACAAAACATTTTATCTGGCCAAGGCATAGGAGTGCCCCTTCTAAAGCCAAACAGTCCCCCAGCATTCAATTCTGAAAATGAATTCCAGACAGGCCCATTGGGTGATTTCAATCAAGGCTTAGCAAATCAGAACAACCAGGACGCCTTCAACTCCGGTGTTGGCTTAGGATTTGATGGTAGTGGTGCTGGTGGCTTTCCACAATTTCAAAGTGGGACGGGAGAAGCTCAAGGTACGTTTGGAGGTTCTCCACTTCCTCTTGATTTTGGTGGCGTGAGAGGTTCCCACCCACCAAACAAAAACCAGATAGGAAACTTAGGCGATATTACGGGAAATGCCTTCGCACAAAACCAGCAGCCTAACAACTTTGGAACTCAATTACAACTTAACCAACAAAACCCTTCCTTCAACCAAAATATACAAGCTGGTTCTGCAGACTTTGAGGCACAAGGTCCATTACCAGGGCAGAATTTTCTGCCTCCTCTCAGTGGGACTTTCGGTGGACCACAGTCAAGCCTCGGGCGGCCTCTTTCGGCAACCTCAAGTCAAGTTCCAATTGGAAGCGCTCAAAACAGTTTCTTGACCTCAGGTACGCCCGAAACAGCTCTAAATCAGCAAGGAGTTGGTGGAAATTTCAATGCTAATTCATTCAATGGAAATATTCCCGATTCCAACGGGAATGCCCCGTTTGGTCAAACTGGCCCATCAATATTTACTCAACAGTCAAATGGACAATTTGGAAATTTTCCTGGTAACAACATAAATCCTGGAGTTGGCTTACCTTTTCCAGGGAATCAGGGACCCAACAGCGCTCAATTTTTTAATGGTCAGCCATCTGGCCTCCCAGGACAATTTCAATTTGGACCTCAAGGAGATACCGGTAATTTTGGAGAGAATCCAGGTTTTAACCCTGCGGCAGATCTTGGGCCAGGATTCGATAATAGTCTCACCCCTGGAAATCAAGGCCCTAACAATGCACCATTCTTCAATGGCCAACCTTCAAACTCTCCAGGCGGATTCCAGCCTGGATCTCAAGGAGGTGTCGGCAGTTTTGGAGGGAACCAAGGTTTAAACCCTGCGGCCGAGCTAGGAACAGGATTACCATTTGAGAACAGTGTAGCTCCTGGAAATCTGGGTCCTAACAATGCTCCCTTCTTCAATGGTCAGGCAAATGGCTTTCCGGGCGAATTCGAGCTTGGACCTCAAGATGCCGGCAGTTTCGGAGGGAACCAAGGTTTAGACCCTGCGGCCGAGCTCGGGACAGGATTACCACTTGATAATAGTCTAGCTCTTGGAAATCAAAGACCAAACAATGGGCCTTCCTTTAATGGTCAGTCTTCTCGCTTACCAGGAGAATTTCCTCCTGGACCGCAGTTAGGTGGCAGCAGTTTTGGAGGCAACCAAGGTTTCAACCCTGATGCTGGGCTCGGACCCAGACCAGGAGGCCAAGGAAACAGTTTTGGTTCTGCTGGTTTTACAGAGAACTTGGGGACAAATCAATTTCAACAAAGCAATTCTGAGTTTGGCCCTGGGTTTGATACCGATTTTGTAGGTGGTCAGAATGGCAATTTTGGAGCGAGTCCTCCCATTGGATCAATACCCATTGGGACAGACCTCACACAAAATCCAAATTTAGGCAATAATTTTCAGTTTGCCCAATCACAATTTGGAGCCAGTCCAGGTCTCCCGTCAGGAGGGGTTGGCATAAATGATCCACGGGTTGGTCCCCAAGGACCTTTAAATTCCTTTTCTCCCAGAAATCGTCGAACAAAGGCCTCATCGAACAAACGATCCACTACGAAACAAAAAGTCACCCGTGAAGCTGATTTCAAGTTAAACACTGACTCATCAGCCAAAGTGCAGGATAATCCAAAATCTTCACCGCAAGACTCTGCAAAAACATTGAGAAGTTCGCGAAAAACACAAGCGCCAGATAGCCGCCCTAGCGCGTCTAGTCAACGCATCAGTCGTGTACGAAACAATAGGGATCCCAAGAATCTGGTGTTCCCGAAAGCTACAGGAGTAACAGGACAAACCGATTCGGGAGACAATTTTCCTAAAGGATTTTCTGATTTTGATTTCACTTCTTCTCGCAGTTTCAATGCGAAAGCATGAACGAACCATGTCAAAAATGTTTAAACGCAATAAAGGTTAGGACTTAGGCATGAATGATCGAAAATGGAGAAGCAAATTTATTACGGCACTTTCCGTCTGAACACTTGTGAAAATCCATTTGCTGCCGTAATAAGTAAAATCAAAATGCGCGTTCAGGTTAAAACAAACTGTTTTTAGAGCATTTATTTCTCAACTCATTTACGAATCGAACGAATCATGGGAAATTTTGTCTATAAACGGAGACAATTTTTGACTGACGGCGTTTTATAATGTAGCATATGAGCTTTGAATAATTTATTTCATTTTAAAGTCCTGAGATGTGATTCATTTTTCAGGCTAAGGGTATGTTACTTCGTGCATGCGACTCGATTGATCACATATGAAGGAGAGATTCTAAGAATTTTCATGCTTTTCATCGTGGTATACAAATGAGTAAAGTGTAGCCACGGATTATTACATTATCTTCAACTTCCTCTGCTGTTAAAGCAAAAGGCATGAATCTCCACTTGATACTAGTTATCCTTCTTCCGATTTTATTCGTTATTAAATTTCAAGTTATTGCATTTGCTTGGATAAATGTTCTGTAATTCACTGTGTGACCTTTAAGTCGAAAGATAAATAATTATTAAGTTTTGAAGCGAACAAATTGCGCACGATTTTTATTGATACTATGAAGGCTCCGAACGACGAGCGAACATTTGTTGTATTTAAAGCAATAGCTTCCGACGTCATTGCTAAATTATAAAATAAACTGAAATTTGGAAACAAAATTTGATTATCCTATCGATAACAAAACCGGAGACTCGGCAACTCCCTATGATGTCTTACTTTATTGCATTAATACCAAATTATACATGATGGCCCACGAACTCGCAGACCAAGAATTTTTTAACGGGAGTATTTATTTGTGCCAAAATATAAACAAGATATTCCTTGCGTCAGCACACATCTTTCACGACGCGTATCATGAAGCGATAATGAAACTTGAGAGCGACACTATCACGTGATCACGACTTCGCTATAAGATAATTTGCGTACAATAAACTTTCAAGCAGTCCAAGCAGTGTAGTCTCTTGGCAGAGGCGTTCGCGAAAGGAAAGTATCCGTATAGACATTATTTCTGCGTCTGATAAGCTAAAAGATTCAAATGTCAATAACAATTCGCAAGGCACAAATGGGAGACTGTCCCAAAATTATTGACATGGTTCAAGACCTGATCAATTACAGCGATATGTCTTTCAAACAACCAATTGATGCTAAAAGTAAGTCAAGCCATTAACACTTAAAAATTTGCATCATTTTATCGTTTGATTTGCAGTATCAAACCAACAACAAAAACAATATTCACCGTTTTACTTCGCGACAAATTCCCCCTTGTTTCATCGAAAAGGATTAGTCTTCTTCCTAAGTCAATTGAATTTCTAATCTAGACTCACTATATTAGTTTCCTGAACAAGGATTTGACCTAAACAATATTAAAAGTGCTTAAAAATTTCTTAGTCTGAATCTGTACAAGAGAACCGATCGACATAAGCAGTTATTGATGTTCCTCATCAGTTAATGATGTTCCTTGTCATTTGAAAGAAATTGGCGCTGTATTATATAGTTAAAAAGGATTTACTTGCAATATCCTAAATACACCAGAAGTTATTCATTGTTGCTCGCATCTCAGCATTGGAGTACGAAGTTATTATCTGCTCTCAATTATCTCTTAATCCGCTCCATTTCTTTTAATACACGTCGTAGACAACCTAATATTTTTTGGTAGATTTTATGCAGATTAATAACATTGCTATGCCAACAAACAGCCCTTCACTATTTGACTTCATTCTTCAGCTCTAGAAGAGGACGGTTTTGGAGAACGAATCTATTACCGATGCCTAGTAGCTGAGGACAAGTCGGCCAAAGAAGGAGGCGAGTTCCGTAGACTTGTAGGATACGTCCTATACCACTTGAGGTTCTCGTGGAGCGGCCGCGCCGCTTGCTTGGAGGACTTGTACGTCTCTCCTGCTTACCGGTCTCATGGCATCGGTACCGGACTCTGGAAGGCCATGCTCCAGGTTTGAGGCACGAAAACTGTTTGTAATAGAGCTGAGAAATAATTAATGCTTCTAATAGTATTTTAAAATAGATAAACAACGGATGGCAACTAAATTATTACCAGTAAGCTATTCCAGCAGTAGTATAATCAACATTAATCACATTTTTCGTGATCAAATACATAGAGGTTCATTACAGATTTTATTACTGTCCGTTGGGCGAACTGTTTTCTAGGATACCATTCTCGAAGGAGCCTCCAGTTGCACGTTTTCAGTGCTGAAATGGAACGCACCGAGCCTGGCTTTTTACAAGAGCAAAGGAGCCGTAGACCTCACGGCTTGCAGAGGTTATATGGCCTATTCATTCGATGCCGACGCAATGCGAACCATCGCAACAACTGACGTGTGAGAAAATGCACACTACCCTGAAGGGCGATTCTATATTTCTCTGTTTATATTCCCCCCGTTACTGTTTATATTAGTCATTGTGGTTTTTTTCCAAGAGTCATTCAAAGATTAGACTAATTAATTGCGTGAATTTCACGAAAAATTTATGAGTCTATGACCCTCTACCGTGAATACAGGAGACGACAAAAATTAGCTCAAATTTTTTAATTATTATTCAAATATTCAATTATTCATTATTAGTGCTCATATTCAATCACTCGGTGAGTATTCCTGATATTTGAAGCGATTGGCCGTACTCGCCGCCTTTCCCCTTGAGGCAAGTTTAAAGGTAATTCATTTCTGATGATAATTACGTTGATGACATAATTCACTTGTTTCTTGCAGAAACAGCAACGTCGTGATAACTGATGTTGTCGGTGACCATATACCTGCTATCGCAGCAGCTTATCGAAACATGGCCAAGGAATTGGAGGGAATAGTAGAAATGCAAATTACGGAGGAGGGTGAGCTGATATATATCAGTGAATAACAATATTTTTAACATATTGATCATAACATAATATATTGATCTCGGCGCTGAAGTGTAGGCCTGATGTGGCCTGTCGTCGATTCTTTTCCTTTTCGTGCCTTGTTCACAGAAGGTCTAATATCGTTTCATTTCACCGGATATTTTCATGACTGACGATAGTTTGAAGTAGCTACTAGACTCCCACCGGGTTCGATATGGTGCTAGGCATTTCAAATCTGAACATATATTTTTTTCCATAGCTTTATCTAGTCAGTTCTTGAACGCGTTCATACTTGGAGCGCCAACGATGTCATTGGGGAGGCTGTTCCACATGTCGGTGATTCGAAGCGAGAAGAAATTTTGTCGCGTGGAGAAGTTGCAGAGCAGTTTTTTTTAGCTTATAGCCGTGGCCCCTGGTGTTGATTCTTGTTTCAAATTCTGGTAATCCTTCGGGGACCTTGTATAGACCATGAGTATACTTGTATACTTCAATGAGGTCCCCACGCAGATGTCGATAACTGAGACTTGGAAGCTTCATAATCTTCAATCTTTCTTCATAGGACTTGCCCTTCAAGCCTGGAATTATCCTTGTTTACAATATTTTTGCCCGTTCTAATCAAGCAGAGGTTCCCAATGATGGAGGTGTGTACTAAGGGAGTGATAGGGAGGGTAACACCAAAAAGTTGAAAGTTTAGCAAATAAAAATTGGCTAGTTGGAGATAATAGCAAGAAGATAGGTGCCTTAAAATATTTAGATCAATAAAAATTATATGAGCCACCATTGATGGGTCTTGATACAATCATTCTTCAACTAATTTCTTTAGATTAAACAAAAAAATCTTACGTAATCTTTTGTCTCGTGTCTGCAACTAATGCGGTCAATCACTATGATGATTTTCCGGCAATAAAGTGCAAGACCGAGCGACCTACTGAACTTTGATAATCGAATTCAGAACATTAAATGAATATTCATCCTGCATTGCACGTCCTAACAGACTAGCCAATGTCCAAGAGAGCTTCAATTGAATGGCATCACTTGCAACACTCTAGTGACAGGCTGGCACCTGAAACCACAAAGTCAAGACTTCCTCCACAAACATAATACTTCAGACAAAAATCATGAAGATGCGCATTGTTCAACTACAGAACATACGAAAACAGGGAGTCTTCCCTCTCTGATTTACCCAAATAAATGTATCTTGACAAAACTTTTCGGAATGATTATGGTGATTATTAGCAATGCAAAATCCATAATTTTGCACATTAATATTTTTCAAAATATTTGGTTACCGGCAATTTATTTAACCTCCTCATTCAATGGAATATTAAAAAATCATTACACAGCCTAGATGCAGAAGTATATATTATAACCTAAATTACAAATGTGATTTCGATGCATCGATCAAACCTGACAAGGACCTCGACGCTCCGCCAGAGCTGTCTGCGGCTGTGACGAGTTCCCGTGCGTGGTGTGAGTTGCTGCTGGCCACATCCGCGTCAGGGGAGTTACTGGGCTTCCTACTTTATAGCGTCTCCTACAGCACTGTGGATGGCGCCCATTTCTACATCAACGATCTCTACGTCGAGCCGAAACACAGAAGGAATAAAATAGCTTCATCATTGTTGAGTAAACTCATGCAGGTGATGAGTTCTACCTAACTGAGCACTCAAGTTCAGAATGCTTTTAGGGATTAAAATATATATATTATTTAGGAATATTCAGAGGGAATAGGAAATATTTATTGTACGTATATACTGCTATAAAACTATACAAATTATTTCATAGTTGTGTACGCCGCATTTCATTAATTTAAGAGCCATACGAGCATCAAACCGGATATTCATTATCATTCTTCGTAGTTTCAAAATACGACAACTAACATCTATATTTATTTGACTGGTGTTGTACCAGGTCTTTTTAAGTACTGAATTTAATTTTGAAAATCAACACCCCACATGTAATGGCATGGTGTTGCAGAGAAGCGAGGCGCTGAGGTGGCATTTCTGCGACATGGTGGTGGCGGCAGGGCAGGAGGCGGCGCTCGAGTTCTTCAGGCATCACCAGGCGGTGAACCTCAGCGAGGCGGAAGGCTGGGTCCACATGATGCTCGAGCGCCAGCACATGGAGGCTCTTGTGGACTCTTAATTAAAATTTCTGGGCAAAAATTATTGCCAACCGTAATTTGTGCAATTGTTAAATGTTCGTTTTGCAGCATTTTCCTACATCATACCTGTTGATATAATAAGCTTATGGTTCGCTTTTCTTCTTACTATGCACAGATTGCAAATAAATGGTTAGAAAAGTAATAAAAAATTCATATTGCAGTTGCAGTTGACCTGCTTCATGAAGGATTCCCGTAGTAACGACTAACGATTCAACCTCGTCCGAGGTCTGGCGGTTCTGAAAAAGAGCCTTATGGAATATGGGAGCTCACTGTCTTCACGTTTACTAATATTAATACGACGAATGCTTAATTAATTTGACTGATGTGCTAATGCAGCCATCGTTCTACCCTCTACTGCATTAGCAGGAGTCTTGCTCCCTTACAGTGACATCTAAACTATGCTAGTTTCGTTCAACCATGTATACTGCCGTATATATGTACAGCTTGAATTTTTGTGAAGGTATGTGTGAATTAATTATAAAAATGGGTTCGCTTGTTGTGTTTGCACAGATTACAATGGAAGTTTTCTTTTTTGGATACTTATTTTTATTTATTGTGCATTATTCAGCATTGCATTTCTTTCCTTTAACTATTAATGTGAAATAAATAAAAATTGTATGATTATAAATGTATATATGGTTACCTATAGTGTTCAGAAAATTCGGGAAATGTGATTTGCCATTATGTTTCCATCGCTACAGGGACTGATGTGTGGAAAAATCTTTCCAATTTAAAGTGGGTTCAAAAACCACTTAAAGTTAGTGCACAGTTTAAATTCATACTGAGCTAAGGTACGCGCCGATGCGCAAAAACAACCGAATTTCTAAGCACGAAAGTCATTCTTACGACAATTAAATCATATATAGTCTCAAACTGTGCGGGAAGTATAGGTTCTTGAACATTAAAAGCAAGAAAGCTGCAAGAAATTAAGGCTAAAGAGAGGAGCAACTTATGGTTAATATACCGACTGAGATTACAGGAAGCGAAAACTTTGATGTCGTTCATGTGTGGCACGTTGGAGTGATGGATTATTTATACAGCCAATTTTGTCCGGCAATAACGAATTGATTGAAAATCAATTTCGATGTAAAACATCTGCATTGGAATAAAAAAGCCAGTTCCGTTACTGAAAATTTTCAGCATCTATGACCATTATTTCTTGGTAAAAACGGTTTTTCAAGGCTAAAATTAATTCAACTGTAACTTGAAATTCCCATCAGCTGTTAGTATTCTATTCAGTATGAGATATGGAATTGTGATGATAGTACTTGCACCATTTAAATTCTCTCACACATACCTTTGGATTATAATAATAGTAATTAATTTTCACACATTTGATTCAACATTACGTAAACAATTTTGTGCATGGATTAATGTTATACAAAATTTCGTATTTTTGACAAGTTTAACTGATTAGTCTTTACGTTTCACAGTTTCCACACGCATTGATTATTTATTTCAAAATCACAGTTTCATTTAATCTAATAATCAGCTTGGCAAAGTTAGAAGATAAATTAAATGGTTATAATTATTGACGCGCTGTAAATCAAAGAATAAGCACTGAAAAAACATTGAATTAATGCGTGTTCTGATAAGGAAATAGCCTCAAATAGGGATAATTTGAACGGAACGCTTCGCGAGGTAGCGATAAGCATGGAGGGTAAAGAGCGTGGGTAACTGCTTCTCAAGTGACACAGTTTCAATCACAGTGGATACGTGATTGATATCTATAAGAGTATCGTAAGTGTGAGCGTGTCCGTTAGGCTTATTGAAACGAATCGTTACGCCATCAAAGCATTGAGTGTTTCCGGAACCATTTCACCATTGGCCGTCGCCGTGTTCCGGCTGGTGGCACGATAATGAATTGGGTGAATAATTGTTAACCAACGCGTTCTTCATATAAGATCCGAGACTTCACGAAAAGTTGATCGAACAAATTGGACCCCGGAAGACATCGAACGTATGCATTAAGCAATTGAAGCCTTAATTCGGCGTTCATTCACACGGCATGCTATGTTTGGTGCACACGTTGGATGTTTACTGGGGTCCGTGCAGTTTGACCACCTCGTCATGCAGTCACGGGTGTCACAGAGCCAGATTTTTAGGTAAATTATTCATCCCCTTTTTAAGCAGATTTCACACAGGGCGGTAAATACCACGCGCGTCAAGAATGCCGCGGCAGTATTTACCGCGCTATCTTTCACACGAGGCGGTTTTTAACGCTGGAATCTATGTCTGGCAGTGCTGTTGTCCGCAAGTGGTCTTGACTGTGTCTATTAATGGCTGCTCAGAATAAAGAAAAGAAGGCTCACCTTTTATACTTGCTGTATAAAAGACAGCAAAGAAGGAAAAGAAGGCGGTGCCGGATTCACAATATAGTAAATTTAAGGCCGCAAGAAGGAGAATTTGCCACACTGTTTGAAAGGCAACGTTCTCAAAGTTGTCATTACAAAATTAATTCATTACTCATTACATTCATTAACAAGAAGAAATTAGTTAAATTATCCTTGCCTCTTCTGGTAGCTGGAGCTGCATACACCATCGCCTACCCACTGTCTGTACCACAATAGGTAGAGGCGTGAAAAACCGCCCAGTATGAAAAATTACACTGAATACCATTGCAAGCTAAACTGTCGCGGCGAATCTACCGCCGCAGTTTTAGCATGACACACGCTGGCGTCAGGCGTCAAATTCTACGCCGCGTTAAAAGCCGTCGTGTGTGAATAGCAGTTCACATTTCGTGCGTCCGCTAAGGTTCAGCGGTAAATACCGTCGGATGCTGGCGTTATTTACTGCCCTGTGTGAAAGGGGCCTATATAGTGTTGAAATTCGGGTAGAATTTCGAAAACAAATGTAGAATCTACTTATGTATCCCTCGGTTAAATATCACTGATGACGCAACCACTTTGTCTGTCTTTTGTATTCTGTTGCTCGTGATTCCCTGCTGAGCGCCCAGCTGTAATCCGATAACAATGATTTATTCCCTTTCTTTTCACTTCCAAAGCAAAATTTCTTGGTGGATGCGTTCGCCAAGTTTGTCGCCAACAGCACCGCAGTTTTCGAAGAGGAAGTTTAAGTGTAAATTTAAGAGGAGCATTCTTGAAGTCGTGTAAAAACCCAGTCTATCGTAGCATTACAGGAGATTTTTTACAAAATTCTGAAAGTTTTCGGCCTCATGATTTTCGAAAATGTTACTGTACACCTCAGCTAAAATATACCTGGCTAACTTTTTACAACCTTCATGTATACTATTTAAATGTGCATCCTTTAACAGTTTTCTGTCTGTGAACCAATGATAGCCTCTATTTGTCTTGTCTGCTCTGTAAAATTTTTCTACACAAAGGCACAAATGGTTTGTCAGTCATACGTATATGAAGCCTTCATGAAGTTTTTATACAGACCGTAAGGACAAGGTTTCTAATAAGAGTATGGAGGAGTTTAATTCGTTCAATTTCAAGAGTGGTTCATATGAAGCATTTTATGTTCCAGGTTGAAGTGATTGAGAAGGATTTAATAATAAATAATAATAAATAAATTAATTGAAGCCAATCCTTCTATCTGTGGTGGAGTGCTTTCGCACAGCTGTCAAATGAACATAGAAAGCTGCAAAATCTGAAATTATCTTGCACGAGACCAAGCATAATACGGTTATTCCTCTGAACTTACCGATGATTTGCTTATTAAACTGTCATAGTTTAATGTGCAAGATTTACGTTAATTGCTCGTAAATTGCATAGGCAATCGGAACAGATGAACACAAATTTTCATAATAACATAACATAACATAGTGATGTCAGCGCTGAAGTGTAGGCCTGATGTGGCCTGTCGCCGATTCTTTTCCTTTTCGTGCCTTGTTCATAAATCTAAACTCATGTCATTTGACCGGATCTTTTCATGACTGACGATAGTTTGAAATGCAGAAGGTCAGCTTTAGAATTTTGATATCGCAACGCGATAGGTATTGCAGTTCTCAAACTATAAGACTTGGTGAGACATGACAAATAGAGCATGCAAATTTCGATCCTTTCTGGTAAGTATACCTCTCATTCATTATTAAAATATCATCATCTTTAATGCTGCTGCGCTTTAACGTTGCTCTGAGCTCCTGACTGCTTGTTGTCGCTGTTTTCATGTAGTCTTAATTATCTCTATCGTCGACGAATAAAAACGTGTAGGTTTGAATTTTCTTTTTGAAGGAAAACTTGTTGGATTGACATGAAAGTTGAAAATAGACAATCCCCATTTGTCCTGTCATACCGCGTCCCATATTTTGGGAACTCGTAGCGTTTCATCGTGCCGCGAAATCACCAGGAACTTATATTCCAATTCTATAATTAGTATTGTCATCATGAGCGTTTACAGAACAGAGAAGCGAGTATAAATTCGATCTAATTTCTAATTTTCAAAAATGTTTACTTTGTTTGAAAGAACAATAATGTTTTCGAGTGAGATTATTTTACTTGTGTGTTCAAAGCTTTTTTTAGTACTGCAGGGATGATACCGTCGTACCTACTACGTTAAGCTATAAATACTCGTATTGTCGCCAATTGATCTGACCTTCGTTTTATATCAATAGGCAGTGAAATGGGCAGCCTGTCGAACTAAATGAACATTTTCATTTATTTCAATTTATTTGGCTGTAAGTTAAACATAAATCTTCAAATTAATTTTTCCTGAAATTTTCAAAACCAGTTTCTAAATAAAGAATAGTTGATGGTAGCGTAATTAGTCTGTTTTTTTTTTTTTTAATTCGTGTGATGTTAGTCTGAAAATAATTATGGCAACATCAGAAATGATCTAATAAACCATTTTATAAATTTTGGTGTATTGCATTTTTTTACACACACTGACCAAACAGGCTAAATTCTAAAAGCCAGTTTGTGGAAAACCACGGAGTGAGGTGGTGGGTGATGGAACATCGACTCGTTTGCAAAAGTGGCAAATTTACACCCCTATCACCTTCGAGCTTCGATATAATTTATTCATTATGTACTGTGAATATTTAATTATTTTTTATGAAAACGTTCCCTCCAGTTTATGTCTCTTGATGGCTTATTTATTACTGAATTATTATCATCGTTTACAGCAGGGGCCCCCAGAAATATTTTCTATAACCAGTTTTTGTTGTTGTAGACAATTTGGAAGGGAGACCGAATTATTATTTTGATAAAAGCACCTGTGACTTGGGCTCCGCTCTTAAAGATTAAAGAAGAAAGCTAGGGTAATAAAATAGCGTACCTTTTGACGACAAAGATATTATACTGCAAGGTCTCATAAAATCATTAAATTACGACAGATGAAAGGTTTAGCATGTGATGCCTTATTTTCAGAGGTGGGCAGTAGCACGCTACATGTAGCGGTAGCGGCGCTGCATTTAAGCAATTGTAGCGGTAGCGCCCGCTACATATTTAAGTAGCGATACGAGGTTTTGCCGCTACAGCGCTACCGCTACATTTATAGATAAAGCCTTTAGATTTTACTTAATAGTTTTAAATATTATTTAAAAACCAGCATGATACATACATAACATAACATAGTGATGTCGGCGCTGAAGCGTAGGCCTGCTGTGGCCTGTCACCGATTCTTTTCCTTTTCGTGACTTGTTCACAGAAGATCTAAAATCGTGTCATTTGACCGGATCTTTTCATGACTGACGATAGTTTGAAGTAGCTACTAGACTTCCACCGGGTTCGATAAGGAGCTAGGAATTTCAAATCTGAACATATATTTTTCCATAGCTTTATCTAGTCTATTCTTGAACGCGTTCATACTTGGAGCGCCAACGATGTCATCGGGGAGGCTGTTCCACATGTCGGTGATTCGAAGCGAGAAGAAATTTTGTCGCGTGGAGAAGTTGCAGTGCAGTTTTTTTAGCTTATAGCCGTGGCCCCTGGTGTTGGTTCTTGTTTCAAATTCTAGTAATCCTTACATAATATAAATACACAATACATACATAATATAAATTACAGAATAAAACTGTACGAAAGATTTCGGTGTAATGTTGTCAACCTCAGCCTGTTACTAGTGTCAACATGTTAGTTGTTACTTGTTAAGTTGTTACCAGTTACCACTTACCGGCATTTTTCATGTTTCAGTTTGCTTATAGTTATTTTTAAAACGTTTTTCTTAGCTTAGCTTCACGTTTGTTTGTTTGTTGTTAAAATTGACAACGAAAATTAGCCCACTTCTGATTGCTCTAGAGATCTGAAATTCGGCATGCAGGCTATTTTATCCAAAATTCGTGTGTTGTGTGCTTTTCGCTTTAATCATAAATCTGCCCGACACACGTTTTTGGGGCGAGCCATAATTTATTTTCTACTTTTTAGTCCACAAGAAAAACGTGTTTTTTAAAAAAGTATTTTAAAGTATTTTATTACACAGTTATTTTTATGTTTCACCTTCTCTACATGGATGTCTACTTTAATTTACCAATCTCAAAAATAATTCACATATATATACAAATAAAAGACTGATTTTTTATATGTATAAATGGATAATTTTTGAGATTGGTAGATTAAAGTAGACATCCATGTAAGGGAGGTAAAACATATAAATAACTGTAACTTTTATTTCCTGTATCTAACCCCACTAGTTCGGTTAGGTTAATTGCAATAAAGTTGCATTGATATGTTTTGAAAATATTTTATTAACATTAAATGTTTAATAGTTAATCCCAATAGAAGAACAATAAATATTTAGAGATTTCCAATAATTTTGGTCATTGTAACGATTAATGTAGCGGCGCTACATTTTACTGTAGCGGTAGCGGTAGCGCTCGCTACAATCTAGTGGGTGTAGCGGTAGCGGTAGCGCCCGCTACATTTAGAGTATGTAGCGGTAGCGGTAGCGCCGCTACATTTCCAAGTAGCGCTGCCCAGCTCTGAATTTATTTTTAGCGTCAGTAATTTATTATTTTCTCTGTTTCTTGCTTATTTGAATTTTTTCAGGCCTCCAGCTGCAATCCCTGATAATGAATTCAAGTATGGACCGTATAGTTGTGATTCAAAAAGCAGAGATAAAAGACTGCATAGGAATTCGACGCCTTATTCAAGAACTGGCAGACTACGAGAAAATGCCCCAAGGTCCAAAGATTTGCCATAAAAGTAAGTCACTCCGAAATTATGATGATGTGATGAATTAAACAAACGGTTGATCCTAAGAAATATGTATTTTCGTATATATTTATTATTATGATGAAATAGTAAAATAAGAACTCATTTATTCAAATTTTCAGGATCGAACAATATTCTTCAGATAACGTTGATTTATCAATTGCAGGTTTAAGAAAGAAATTTTTAATTTATTAACAACGTTTCGAATATGACAACATTATTTCTCAAGTTATTAGGCAGCATTGAATGCAGAAATTTTGGTGGAAATAAATACATGATACACGTATATATGATACAACAAGAAAATTTAGAACAGTGAAAATAACTCCGAAACAATCTCAAAGTTCAGTAAAATCCGGCAGTTGTGAGATGGATAACCCCGGGAGTCCAATGCATAGCGATGAGGGCTCCAGCTCTACAAATTGAAGTAAATTGTTCAACTTCAATTTTTTGCTTGGATCTGAAACGCTTTAACGGAAATTTAATTGCATTAGAAGGTTGTTTTTTTCATGAATTTTCCTGTAATCATGGATTATTTTAGTATGAAAAGGTTACCTTTGTTCTCATTTATGAACAGCTCTGGAGAAGCATGGATTCGGTGAACGAATTTATTACCGATGTCTTGTGGCGGTGGACGAGTCAGCTGAAGCTGGAGGCGAGGGCCGTAGACTTGTAGGATACGCCCTGTACCATCTGAACTTCACGTGGCGGGGCCGCACTGTTTACATGGAGGACTTGTACGTCAGTCCCGCGTTCAGGTCAAAGGGGATCGGCACGAAACTCTGGAAAAGATTGCTTAAGGTAGGTGAAATAGCTTTTTTATTTCACCCAGTGAAATAAAAAAAATCAGTTTCATGGTTCATGGATTATGCTGTTCTGTCCTACAGGCTACAGAAATATAAGGTGAATTTATTCACACTCAAAATTCCTATATACAAGGAATGTTGTTTAAACATCTATCTATCCAAGTTGAATATGATGCGCATTGTGGAGACTACCCGTGCATCTCCTCGTTGATTCCATTAATTAATTAATAAGAATGAGTTTATTTTTACCCACTGAAGAAGAGAAATCTGTAAACTGATCATATGAATCATGTGCGTGTCGGTAGTTTTGAAAAAGAGAAGTTATGTTAGCCACCATTTACCATGAATAATATTCTACTGTGTTCGCACGGCTTACCATATGTAAAGAAGTACATTTATCGACTTAGGACGCTATGGATGAAGGAGCCTGCCACTGCATATTTTCTGTCCTGGATTGGAATGTTCCTAGCCTGGACTTCTACAAGAGTAAAGGAGCTGAGGATCTCACGGCCTCCAGAGGCTACCAAACCTTCAGAATAGGGAAACACGCCATTCAAAGCATTGCCGCCTCAGACATGCTGTGAGTAACCGCATCTGAGTCATGACTGGGTTCAGATTTTTACCCCACTCTACAGACCGAAAAACATATATATGATTGAATGAATTCAAGCATTTTATTGAGGCCTAAAGTACATTCACGTAACTGTGCGCTCGATTTCGGTTTGAAAATAATTCAACACAACTTCAGAGTATTTACGTGTAATCATAAGTTCAACATCAGCTGCTAAGTAAATTATCCGCGGTCAGAACTTTATGAGATCAGTAGTGTCCCACTTTATCTAATAAACCAGAATCAAATGTATTGTATTGTATATTTACGTAATCAAATGTATTTGTATATCAAATGTAAATGTATATTTAAAATATAAAGTAACATTTAAATTAAAGCTTCAATTCTTATGTTTACTCCTGTAACATTATCTGTATTTATTATTTTGTTTTATTTTTTTGTAGAAACAGGGCCATCGACGTTAGGCAAGCTTCGGGAGACTTGACTTCAATCGTGGCCGCTTATCGCGAGATGGCTAACGAGCTCGGACGAGCTCACGAGCTGCAGATAACGGAGTCAGGTAAGCAGTTATGTTTCGCTTGTGCTAGAGAACTTCTCAAAAAAGTATTCAATGTTCTCCCTATAAATTGCGTTGCTGCAATGCTTTCATAAGGCAGCTTTTGTAATTATTGCACCAGGAACAATGAATGAAGCTTTGCAGGACAAATAATGACATCACGGCTTGGCCCAAGTTACTCTATCAATTTATCACTATTCGTTCAAATTCGTTCTTAAGAACTCTCAGCCGGCCTTACGAGCTCTCCGGCGTGGTGCGACCTGCTGTTGGCTACGTCTGCTACAGGAGAGCTCCTGGGCTTCCTGCTTTATTGCTTGTCTTATTCAACCTGGGAGGGCATCCAGCTCTACGTCAAGGATGTCTACGTTAAGCCCGTGCACAGGCGCAGCAAAATAGCGTCGTCGCTTCTGCGATCTCTCATGCAGGTGACGCGTAGTGCCACTACAAGAAAGTGCGCGGGCCGTAGCGAAATACGTTAACTAGGCCTTATATATTCGCTAAAATTGAATGAATGTTAATTATTAGCTAGTAAGCCTTAAGCTAGCTACAATTTGTTCATTGGTCAATACAAATATCGTCATTCTGATAAAAGTTTTGATTTTTAGCCTAAAATGTGGCTTAGCATCATATTAAACAGTGTTAAATTGTCTTCATCACCTTCTGTCCCTCTTATCAAACCGATGGTTGCTTGATTTCAATGAAAACCCTGTTTACTGGCGCAGGTGTAACTTTACTATCACGACGATACCGTCCTTAGTGTCTTTTTGATGTAGAGGGGCGAGGCACTGGGGTGCGGTCGCTGCGACATGGTGGTGGCGGCAGGGCAGGAGGCGGCGCTCGAGTTCTTCAGGCATCACCAGGCGGTGAACCTCAGCGAGGCGGAAGGCTGGGTCCACATGATGCTCGAGCGCCTCCACATGGAGGCAGTCATCTACTCATGAATTCACGTCGAGCGTAATGGACATAGTTTTGAAAAATCAGTAAAATTTTCTTTTGTATCCACCATTTATGAAGTTTCTTAATGTGGAATTTGCATGCAGTACTTGAATGTTACAATGCATTTCAATTGATATGCTTTTTTAGTTTGTAGTTATAGTTGAGTTTTCCCAATGTGTATACTCAATTAACTTTGAATACTATTTCTCACATCAAATGAATAATTCATTATGATCCTTTCAATCAATTTGCAGTGCGATGATATTAGGACTCAATTTTCTTAAGTTGTAAAATAATACCGGTAATTTCCAAAAAAGAGAAGGAGTTTTTCAGTGCATTTTCAACTTTTGTCTAGTATTATAATGCATTCACTGATTGATCTGAACTGAACTTGAAAGTTGAGGATGTCACTTAAGTTTGAAGAAGCTAATGAGGATAAGGAGTTACCTACATATGTTGAAATTTCATTACTGTTTATTCCACAAAGCTAGAAGAATACAAAAAAAGCAACATTTTCACCGAGTGAACTCATTTACGGGAAGTTCTTAGACAATCTGCACAATGCATTAGATGGTACAGCGTATCGTGTGTCAGTTGTTCATTCACTTTTAGTGTGCTGAGCTCCTTTTGTACGGCCTGGTTAATTAAACTTAACCTGACAATAGTTTCTTTCCACGTTATAAAAGATGGCTTATTAAAAAAATTTCAAAATTTTCCCAAGCATGTTAATTTTCCCTACATTAAAGAAAGAGTTTCAAGAAATTTGTTAAAATTGTTCGAGCATACTGTATTATGGTTCTATATCAGACGTTCATACATGTACCTACTTCAATTAGACGAAGTAGCCTATCAATCAAATTGATGACGTTGCTGAATTGCAAAAAAAAAAAATATCTCGTAGAACTAACCTCACAATTTGTTCAGAGCAGCCTTGTTAGACCTGGCAATACAACAATAATTATTCTACGCAAGTGACGTGAAAATTCAAGCCCAGACGCAGTACAACACGGATTAGAATTCTCAAGCAACGACGCCAACCTAAGGGTACGCACACAGTGAAAGCAGGTTTGCCCGCGCGGGCAACCTGCTCCAACCTGCCACAAGAATGAACATAGGATAATAATGTAAGTGTTCACAGTGAAAACCTGTACGAATAGGCTTCTGTATTCTATGGTTTCAGGCGCCAGCCTGAGCAGGTAACCAGCACGCTGGCAACCTGCTTTCAATGTGTGCGTACCCTAAAACATGTCGAATCATTGCTGCTGTACTCTTTAGTGCAGGATGTATTAAATTCCAAGTGAAAATACGGCTATCTAGAGAGTTAAAGTCGTTTTTAACGCACGGCGTGGGGTAATTGGGAGACACTTCGTTGGATATTTGAAGTAATTTTCAGAATAATGATAATTCCGTGGTTTTTAGGTAGATAATTTATGCCTCACTTATTCGATAAGGTTGTTCATGAATTGTAGGAATCACTTCCCTCAGTAGCTCTTTTATTTGCACATCCAGAATTCATCTACGAGTTGGTGTGGCATTTTATTGGCCGTGTCATGCATTATTTATTGAACAGAAATACACTTTAAATTTTAATCAAATGTAGTTTGGTTAAACGAGGTCTGCTAGTCCGTGCAAGGGCATACATAATGAAGGGCATGATATGACAGTATAGCGCATTTACCATCATTTTTCCATTGATTTCCAAGTTGGTAACAGCAAAGTGATAAAAATTACTGCGAAAAGCAAGAGATACTTATCTAAGATCATTTAAATACGTAATCCGAGAAATTAGAAATGTTTAAGCAGTGAAGACCTTAGTAATCCAGTATTTAACTGTCAATATTGTTGTCAATTGTTTAAACGCCAAATTTATCATCATCCATTCTTCGCAATAGGAAGTGCAATGATAAAAATAGTGCATTTTTTCTATAAACTAAAATGTAAAACAATTTATGACTGATGGGCTCATTTAGTGTGAATTTGCCAACAGCCCTTGACAGCTTCATTTCCAATTTGAAAGAATTAATGAGAAGTGCAAATTCGTTTTTTATTTAGCGAGACGGTCACAGCTACACGCGCGGTATTTAATTAATTTTTTCAATAGGCTGTTGAAATTATCACCAGAGCTGGGCAGCGCTACTTTGAAATGTAGCGCCGTTACCGCTACCGCTACATGCTCTAAAATCTAAATGTAGCGAGCGCTACCGCTACCGCTACATCCACTAGATTGTAACGGGCGCTACCGCTACCCCTACAGTAGAATGTAGCGCGCTACATTAGCCGCTACAATGGCCAAAATTATTAGAAATCTCTTAATATTTATTGTTCTGCTATTGGGATTTACTCATTAACAGTTAATGATAATAAAACATTTTCAAAACATATCAATGCAACTTTATTGCAATTAACCTAACCGAAATAGTATGGGTTAGATACAGTAAATAAAAGTTACAGTTATTTTTATGTTTCACCTTCCCTACATGGATGTGAACTTTAATCTACCAATCTAAAAAATTATCCACATATACATATAAAAATCAGTCTTTTTTGTATATATACGTGGATTATTTTTGAGATTGGTAGATTAAAGTAGACATCCATGTAGGGAAAGCTACGGCAATGAGAGACATACCATTCGATTTGTAAAAACAATACCTAGCGACTCTAGAAGCCTTTTTTTTTAATATGTGCATGGTTTGACTTATATATTGAAGGGGGAGGGGGTGGGGGGTAAAAATGTGAAAAAAATGGGAAGAACGCGAATAAAATAAACGATGAGGAAAATAAAAAATCGGGGCTCTACAGTCGCTAGATATTGTTGTTACAAATCGAATGATATGTGTCTCGACATTGTAGCGTGTGATTTGCAAAAGTTATAAACTTTTTTAGAGTACCCCTTATTTGCCGTTTTCTATTAATTTCACGTTTTCTTTCATTTTTTTAATTTACATGAACAAAAAGGTCTTAGATTTCTGTTTTACATATGTGTACTAAGTTTCAAAACGATCCGTCTGTAAACTAAAAAGTTTTGTTGGAGGGTAGCCGGTCCCCTTAAGTAAAATCTAAAGGCTTTATCTATAACTGTAGCGGTAGCGCTGTAGCGGCAAAACATCGTATCGCTACTTAAATATGTAGCGAGCGCTACCGCTACCGCTACATTGCCTTAAATGTAGAGCCGCTACCGCTACTGAAAATGTAGCTCGCTACTGCTCACCTCTGATTATCACACCCCGAATTCGTTCGCTTTCCATACGCCAATCCATTGCGTGAGGTGCATTGCGATGTAATAAGGGGGAAACCATGACAGAAATTAGTAAAAATTATTGAGGTAATTCTTATTTAATATGCTTGCGATTGAGAGTTTTTTTCTGAAGAAAAATAACTTGAAATTAAGCATTTTGTGTCGACAATTTGCTATGAGGCGAACATCCATGCACTTGGCTAGTGATGATGGTCGACTTTGATTTGGCAAGAAACCATATTTCCTGAAATCAGCTGCTTGATCTGGAAATTTTGTTGAGTAAATCATTTCAAAGCTACGATATTACAACGTACTAATGTATTGAATTATTAGATTTATTACTAATTCAAATCATGCGTCCTCGAAGTTACCGCATCGAGAAAGCACTCGCGTCAGATTTGATACAAGTCCTAGAATTAATTCTAGAGTTACTGATGGGCTTGCTGAACGGGATGAGCTGAAACTGGAAGGTTATAGAGCGCTTAATTTTCTTTGGTCAATACTTGTCTAACTCTGAGCTGACTCCAAGTGAACATTTGGTCCAGTAATTGTTCAGTAAATTTCGGCATCTTCTGACTTAATAGTCCGATGTTTGTTGTTGAAAAAATCTGTTATAAATTAGTTCTTAATAAAAGTCATTAGGGTCTTGCCCAACAAATAACACTTTATTTATTTATTTATTTTTCCTTTTTTTCTTCTATATTAAGTCCATTCTTTTTTCAACAATAGTATTATCGATAATTCCAATCTTCTCAGAAATGCTTTTCACAAAAATATCAATGGCATTCATCCGGAAAATACCCATGAGCAATGCCTGAATTACGATGTTTTACACATGGTGCTCAGCGAAAATGGTTTCTCTCCGGCCGAGGACTCATCAGTCCCGTAAAAAGTCTTGAACTGTACTAAAATTACGATTACGAACAACATTTATGTAGAACGGAAAGTGCGAAAGTTCCTCCTGAGAGAAAGATAAAAGATTATATTATCTACTGCTGCAGTTATTGCATGGCAGGGAAGACCATATTCATGGCTGGGAAGACCAGCCTTCCATGAATATGGAAGGCTTCTCCGTGAAATCAGATGCATGGATCGGTTCTTCTTTGCTCAGGGAAATTATGAAAGATAAGGGCGCTCTAAGATTAATTTCGCAATGACGGTTAATAAAAAGTGGTCACTTTTATGAATTTTCAAGCTAACATAGGGAAAATTATTTGAGTGACGTTTACTCATGCAATGAAAATTTTGATTTTAGAATTAATTCTATCTGATCGTTTGTCGGTATAAAGTTGAACATCTAATTTATTCAAAACTCGATGCACATTAGTAATTTATAGACGACTCCTTAAACTAACCAAAACGCATTCAGCTACTCAGTTCGGGAGAAGAAACCCTGCAAGTTAATTAAGCCCATCTTCATAAAGCTTAGTACTAGGATGTCATGCTAGGTGTGCTTGCTATTGAGTCATCATGGATACATATGAGGAAGTAACGGCGGCCGAGGAGTTGACACGAGCCTGAAACTACACTCCTGTATAACTAACAATAGCCCAATCATAGTTCAATATCAATTCAATTGCTGAAGTCCTCATAATTAATTCGCGTGGGTTTCTGAATTTATTAGCAGATAAGATATGAGTGCTGCCATCTGGGGAGCTTTACGGTGCTGAGGGGGAACGTGAAGGCCCTAGCTTGGTAGCTCAGGATGAGAGCAGTCAACATTTGACTGCCAGAAATAATATTCACATTTTTACGTTTTTCTGAGATGCCCTTGGAGTGTGTGACTGCAACTGAATACAGGTTGTAATTTAATTAAGTCACCATTCAATCATTTATTTCCAGTAAAAGTTCAATGATGAGATCGTAGAGACATTGTGTATTGTCGACATTTTCGAGGGGAAAGAAGACTCAACAGTATTGAACAAATTTTTATGTGTGCTCTTAGCACTGTTGTGGTAAAATGTGTACGAGGCAATTAAAATGTGTACCTGTGGCGACTTGAAGGCGCGAGAGTCCTGCTCACGAGATCTACCTTGTCTGTCGAAACTGTAACTCAAGCAGCAACACGCAACGAGTGGGAACTCCGCCATTTCCAGTCAAGGTTAATTATATCAGCCAAATTTAAAGTTTGTTTGCAAATTCAAGGCTTTAATAACAATTTACTGGTAATAGTGCCTATCCATAACCGGAACGGGATTCGGCTAAGTATCGATAATCGGGTAATAGAATCTGAGTATCAGGTTCAATAGTCACTGAAAATGGATCACTGCTGTGGTCTCCAAGGTTTGAACAATGCCAATGCTGCAGATGATCATTACTCACGTGCTGCTAACATCTGAATCGTAAAAGTAATAACATCCGCGCAAGAGCTTCATGTTGTTTGCTGTAACTATAACCTCGAGTTATTTCTATAACTATAATCTAATCTGTAATCGTATGACACTCTCTTAGCTGCTTGCTGACTGTTAAGGTAATGCTCCTCGGGTTCGACTTTATGTAGAAGCCTGCCATGGACCCAGCTTACCTAATCTATAGATTGAAACTTTAAAGATTAGGCCAGTGATCCAGTATTAATAACTATTGTGTACTTTTTAATACGTTTTGTGCATGACCAAAGCCGGATCAAGAGTAGGTTATGCTAAAATTGTTGTGTGATGTTCAACGGAAAAATAGTCGATTGAGATGAGGTCTAAGTTCGATTTGGAAGGATGTACCGAGATCCGTGCTCGTGTGTACGTCTTAGATTTTTATCCCTTCAACATCGTGCGTACCGTGGTGCCGTGATTCGTGATTGTACGTACCGTGGTGCCATGATTGTTATGTACCGTGATGCCGTGATTGTACGTACCGCGGTGCCGTGATTGTTAAGTACCGTGGTGCCGTGATTACCGCGGTGCCATGATTGTACGTACCGTGGTGCCATGATTGTACGTACCGTGGTGCCATGATTGCACGTACCGTGGTGCCATGATTGTACGTACCATGGTACCATGACGTGCAATGGCGCTGCACATTTTCGCGTTCTCTCTCTCTCCAGAACTCCAGGTCTCACTATTTGGCCATGAATCACGTCTCGGACAAATTTGCGGCCGGACTTGCGGCCGGTGTCCAAATTCAGTCGCAGTGCAATAGTGCTTTATTACGGTTTGGTATTCTGATTTTTGGTTTTAAGTCACCTGGGACGTGACCTCGTTCAGATGAGCTCTGAAACATATTCAGTGTTGTGTGAATAAGTTTCAGTGGTGGTGATTTTAGTGGTTCATGATTATGATCATCAGTCTATTATTTATTTATATTTTTTACGTAATTTTTTGCTTTTGTAGCTCAGATATTGCTAGTTCTGTATTTTCGTTTATTTCTTAATTTCAGAAAGGCTCCAAATCTTGAGGTCAAAAGCAAGAATTAGAGCAAAGAGAACACACGGTTATATTTTTGTCTATTTGTACATGTCTTTTGTTTATTATAGTTTTTATTTTTCGTTTTTATTCATCCTTTTTTCCCACTATACCCACGACACAGTGAGCAAGGAATTTCACCCAAAGTAATGAACGTAGATCGACGTAACTTGGGACGCGTAATCATTAGGACCTAACGATGATGTTTAGCTCGTGAAAATTATTTAAATTTCGCCTTCATTCCTGAGTTATATGACTATACGTGCCGAAATTTGCAGTGAGCTTGACATTTCTTCCAAAGTACTGAACAGATTTGAACGAAATTTTGAATATACATTCCTAACTATCTAACGGTGATGTTTAGCTCGCGAAATTTTTTTCAAATCTGCCTTCGTTCGCGAGTTTTTTTTTTTCATTTCACCCTAATTCTTGATTTGAACAGCAATACGTGCTTAAATTCGTAGTGAACAAGAAATTTCTTCTAAAATACTCAACAGCTTAGAACGAAACTTCGTATATGAATACCTGACCTCCCAACGGTGATGTTTAGCTCGTGACAAATTTTTTTATTTTGCCTTCGTTGGCGAGTTATACGGCTTTACGTATACGGCTCTTGGCCAATGCAAGTTTAAAAATCGGCCTGAGGAATGCCGGTAATTCTCCGTATATCCGTATAACTTGCGAACGAAGGCAAAACCGAAAAAATTGTTACGAGCTGAACATCACCGTTGGGAGGTCAGTTATTCACATACGAAGTTTCGTTCAAATCTGTTCGGTATTATTTGTGGAATGCTCATAATATGAAGGGAGGGATGCGTCGTTATGTATTATCTATGATCATTATAATGAATATTAGTCATATATATATAGTTATTTTCATTCCGTTCATTATAACTGATAATTTCCTCTAACATTATTTCATTATTTAGGATTAACGTGTGCGATATTAAACCAATAATGAGTCATTCAGTAGCCACCAATAGTCTACCTGCTTTGTGGTATTGTAAAATTGTTGCTAAATAATTTTGGATTTTTGGAGTCCATCTTCGAGCAATTTGATAGATATAATTCGTGAATGGAGTGTAAAGTTTTATGTAATAACCATTAGATTCTTATCCAAAACTAACTCTTCAAACTTATTTATCATTTTTCTTTATTTCATTCTAAGCAGCGTGACTTGGTTCTTGCATGCCATATAGCTACCACTTCCACCTACCGGACAACGACTTGAGAGCTTCTGCGTTTCTTAGAAAACACGGAGCTGTAAACTTGACTCAGTCCGACGACATTAGACTCGTGCACTTTAAAATGCCAGAAATTATTTAAAATTTCTAAATGGATTAGTTGTTCCCGGTTGCAGGGGTGCAGAGAGCACCGTTTAGATATTTTAATAATAATTTAATTTAATCTCTTGGAAAGAATCTACCGCCCAACCTCCGAAATATATGAATCCAAGAATCGACGTTCTCAAGGGCATGATATGTTAGGTTGAAACATGTCCAAAATGTTAGGAGTCGGCGAGAATTACGACAGAAGTTACTCGAACAAGGTACAGTTGGAGCAGGAATATAATTTTTATTTCAATTCATATTGCTTTCGTCAATTGTAGAAATGAGCTGACGGAAGAATGACGACATACAATTAGTGTTTCTGGTATTTTTAAGATACCAATTAGAGCCAATTACATATTTTTTAAATGTAGTCACATAGTTTGATCGATTTTTTTATTGGTAGCTATACAGCTTGTTATTCGTAAACTTGCAATTATTGACTCATTATATGCCATTACAGAAGAAATTACTCCAAAGTTCCTCGTAATGTATCGTCGAAAAATAAAATTAATTTATGTTCAGAACGAAATTTCGTGAAAGATGCCGTAGTGTCGTGGCAACATTGTTTTGGACCAGAGTATTCACATCAGGCAACGAAAAAAATGTATGCACTGTGTACGGCATAAATTAAATCGCAGCAAGAAGTGTACCGTTTCGCACTTCCGTAACGAGAGGTAAAAACATGATCGCATCCGTAGTCTGCGGTGTTCTCCACTGGTGCAGACGCCGCAGAAGCTGCACTGTCTGGTCGCTACCCCGGCCCGGCGAGTTGCGAACTTGCGACTGGCGACAGTTGAGCGCCCACATTGAGAGGGTGAGGGAGTGACTCCATCTCTCCGCGTAACATGACTGACGCTTCTCGAGCACCTCAAGATCCAAAACATCTCCTCAGTTTAACGTTCTGTAAAAATTTCTTTATGTAAAAGTGGCGAGTGTATTATTCTACCATACGTTGGAAATTTATTAATGGAAGTTACTTATTTTTTATTCGTTAAATGAATTGTTAGAAGTTTATTCCGCAATTTTCGAATAACTCCAACTGCACAGATGTCAATTTGATTTGTTCGATTAAAAATTCGTTCAAGCGTATTGATAGCTTGCGATAGGCTTTGAGAGAGCCTAATTACCGTCGATTCCTGGCTGCCCCAACTCGTTTCGCCTAAATCACGTCTCGAGGATTAATCAGCCAAGCAGAATTCAACTTTATTTAACATAATTATTAATTACCTTTGTTGAACGTGATTATATCAAAACGCATAAAAGATGAACAAAAGAGTTTTATTCTTGTATTATATTGTGGTAATTTGCCACGCAACGACTATAAAGGACTTTGATAAGGATATTATATCTTCAAGAACCGACAGTGAAGGTAGTGAGAGGACAGGTAGTGAACTAGGAGAAGCTCGCGTCACCAGTGATGAACCTAACTACGATGCAGTAGTCACCGCTGGAGATACGAAAGCTGCGGTTGGTGGTAAATTTCGTAAAATCAACATCGACGTTCTCGATCCTATTGTAAATGGAATATCTGAAAGTATGAAAGGAGTTCGGACTTTAGACATGTTCAACGATTCTTCCGGTCGAAACGTCCAATTGATGGGCGATCAGCAGGTGAGACATGTAACACTTAAACTTGATTGTAACTTGAGTTTCACATAATTTTTTTTAAACCTTGTGCAACTTGATGTACTGTAACTAAAATTTGCTACGTTTGAAAATATTTCTTTCGTGCAATAGCATTTACACATCTTTTTGTATCGCAAAAATCCCTCTATACTCGTTGCCAGAGATAGACTGGCGCCAGCGCTCAAATCAATAAATCTAGCTCTAGTAATCCGCCAAGCTGAACGATAACAATTTTGCGTCGTCATCAGGCTAATTATGAGCTAATTGATTTTGCTTGAGGGCCCATGCACGGCCTAGCAGACCTCATTGATGTATAATCACGTCCTAAATCTGCAGCGCTCGAGGCGACCCTTAGTCCACGGAGGTTTTTTACTGATCAACATAGAAGAGTCCTATAGATGACATGATTTATTAATGAATTGATGAATGCAAAATCCAGGATATCTTACATAGCATATAGTTTTTTCTTTGCTTGGGGCCAATGAAAACCTACATAAATCCACATAACTTGCATAGCCTATAGCTTTGGTTTTGCTTGGGTTCAATAATAGCGTTGATATTTTTGAATGTTATATGATTTTCCTATAGCAAAATCTGTTTGACTATTGTAAAAAATACACGTATGATCTTAAATCGTGATGGTATTCCTCATGAAACTTCATAGCCATCTTTTAGTGGAGAAGCCTCTTGGATATAGCAACTCAACGATGTGTGTAGCTTTAAAGTTGAATTTTCCGTGGACTGATAATTGATATAATTTCGTGGGATTTATGGACGAGCGAAGTGGCAGTTTATAGAGACTACTTCTCCTAGATTCCTTCTTTGATTTCTGCTTGTAATACTTAGGTGGAATACTTAGTTTGTTTCTTTTATTTTGCTTGATTATCTCGTTCAATGATGGCAGAAGCAATCCAATTAAGTGCTGAAACCTTTTTGCAATTGAAGCCTGTTGTCAGGGCATGCGTGTCGCCAAGTAGAGGCAGATGAGGGATCGGAACGCGCTCGATCATAATTAGAAAGCTTTATCTAGCATAAAATTGCGAATCTGGTCTTATCTAGCCCGACGCGAACGGCACCCAACGAGAAACCGGCATGCGGCTGAGCACGCATTTCAGCCATGCACCATTGGACTGATTTTGATTCATGAAGCCATGATTATGCGTGTCGTGTGATACAACGGCGTTCTTGATGTGCAGTTTATTGTACTTTATTGGCGATTATATATGCTAAATATTTATGCCATGCAGTTTTCAGGGCCTTCATTGGTGGTCGAACGAAGCTTGAAATTTTCATGTTATTTTCACTTTGCTACGAGAATTCGTTGCCTGTGCTGCCTGCAGCGCGAGCATCGTGACATTTTCCTCCAAACCTTATGGAGACCCTGATACTGAATCTGCAATTTTTCAGGTTTGAAAATTAAAACTTATATTTCCTGGATATTTCCCCGCAATTGGTGCTAAAACGTAATTTTTAGATAGAAGTACGTAATTTTTAAATAGAAGTTGAGAGAAGTTTATTCTCGCCTTCCAACTTGCACACAGCGGAGTGGCGGTAATCCGACACCGCCACCGTGTGACGCAGACGTGGGCGTCGCAGCTGACGTGTGACGAGAGCTGTTACGATACGGTCACTCCCGTAATTGTTTGATCTTTTTTTTTTAATATTGCTATTTGCGGTTCACATCAGAAACAGTTTTCTAGTCTGCGAGTCCAACCTAATTTTTTTTTCAATCAATTTAAATCCTTTTTCTTTCGGTTGAAAATTTAGTCGCTCAAATTGCAGCAAGTTGTAACACGTTAGTTCATGGTATATAGAATGGACCTATGATTCCGAGGAAAATTTACCAATGTCTCACAGGTAACGACAGCGAAAAATACGAAGGAATCCATACCAAGCTCAACAGGAAATCTTGAAGGCTTCAAGGAGTCAAATAAACCTCAATAAAAGCTAACATTTCCGATTGTATGTATCCACGGAAGCCTTGTGTCGCTGTTACTGTTACAAATTATGACCGCAGATGTGTTGAATCTAACATGATCGAAGTAATGAAAATTTATAAAATTATAAAGTGCCTGTTACACGCATCCGAGGATAGTGTACAGCAAGTTCCTGTGATTTAAATAAATTTGTTGCAGTGAAACCACTTTTCCATTTGTCAGGATCGAGGAACGCGCAGGTACTGCGTTTTTTGTGGGGAAATCGGCGACGGAAATAATTGTAATGCCTCAAACTGGTTCCGGGAATATCAGCACAAGTAAAACTAGAGCATATGAATAACCATTCATATTCAAAGGAAGAAGTATCATGTGAAGAGCAAACTTTTACAAGGCGCCCTAAAGGTTAATAAGAGTGGAATGCATCTGCATAGCTTATACATTCATTAGAAATTTAAAGCAATCTAGTGACATTATTACTTCTAAATTCATATTATAAATGCATGTATAAGCTGTATACCGGTACATATTTTATACTCGATGAGGTATCAGGAATATCGTTGAGTTTAATTAAAAATATTTTATCCGCATAGTGACGCGTGAGAAGAGACAAAGTCATCCCTTTATCCCCAACTATTTCTATACCTGCTCATAGCAACATTAATATCGCCCACTATTCTGCTTTAATAAATAAAAGCATTGAATTTCAGGCCTTTTTGGATCATAAAAAATGTTGCAAAGATGCATAGTGGTCAAGGGTAAATAACTTGAAGCTGATCGAAATTAGGCTGAAAAAATGTTTTGAGTTTTGGAATCGTTCGAATAGTGCTTTGCATCTTTCATCTTGCGTCTATAGTGCATCTCTCGTGTCCCTTATTGGCTTGGAGTAGTTAGTTGAATTATCTGAAAAAAGGTATGCAGCGTCAAATCGCGGCTAAGACGAGTGATGAGCATATGTCAGTATATGGATCGTTTTGTTGAATCGAGTTCACACTAATTATCTATTTCATTTCCTGGAGCTAGTGCTCTTATATCTTGTGTATATGTCAAGGCAGGCCCGAAATAGTATTAATTAACTACAACACTTGACATGTAAAGCCATATCAGTATAACATTTTGATATCAGTTATTGGACAGCTCATGAAGTTTGTTGATGGGTGCAGAAATTAATAACAACTTGTCTCATCATTGATAGCATGGTGCGTTGGTGCTTGCTACACTTGCTTCTAATGCCTATGGAGAAACTATTTTGGTAGGGAATTTCTGAACAGGAAAAGTTTACATTTCATTTGTGTCTGTCACTTAAAAGGAAAACATTTTCGTATTTTAACCGGCTTATTTCCAGTGGGAACCTTGTTTAGCGCCAAACCTGATTAAGAATTCTGTCGCCACTCTGTAGTTCATCACCTTTGAGCTTCTTTTAAACGTTTGAGACGCGTCAAATGAATCACTGAGAGATTATATGCAGACAAGTCTTAGATGTGCACACCTCAACCTGTGCCTTTGACTTGATCATCTCTATTCACCTACGCGGCTTATGAAAATCTTATCATAATCTTAGTCTTGATGCTTGGTGTAGGTTTAGTGGGCGTCCTTCGGTGGTTGTTGCTGGCTAATTCACATCAACTGCAGATTGCGCCGGATCACTTATCAAGTGCAAATTTAGTACTGTGAACAACTAATGTGAGTCTGCATGCACTCCTGATCTGTTTTTTGGGTCGCTCACCCATTTTTTTGTCCGGTGACTTGCAGGTTTCCAGATTGTTCTATGATACAAATAAGATCGTTGGAAAAATATTGTATTTACTCAGCTATTTATTGACTAGTATGTGTTTAACTCATGGAAATGGGTGGATTATATGGTATTATGCGTTGCACAATGGAGTGAACAGATTGTTGCTACAGTAAATTTCAAAAGAAAAAATATATAATAAAATGAACGGTGCCCTGTCGAGCTGGGAGATGAGCTACTCCTCTAAATCTTGTGAATGTTTGCCTGCATAACACACCACCATGGGGGCTCCAATCATGTAAGCTATACACAAGCTAAGCCAGCATTCAAGACTACCATATATAGCTGCGCTTATGTATCTAGGGTTGTGTTACTGTGATACGCTCAGGAAAGACGGGCTGAATAATGTAAATATATAAAATTTTACAGTTAGAAGATTGTTCATGCTCCGTTGTCTGGTATCCTTGCTTTAAACATGACTAAATACATGCTTATAATACTTCATGAATGGGAAACATGGTTAATATAATACTTATGAGGCACGCATGAATACATTCCTTTTAGCTACACCTTCTTTTCTGTCAGCGCAAGATGTCCGTTATCGCAAGCGGTATTGCATCCGTAGGTTTCATTTCTGAATTTCACTTTAAATTTTTAAATTATGCACATAATCGAAATTTTAAAGTTATAACATGATTATGCTCCCGTATCCATTTTTTTAAGTAGCTTAGAAAGGATTATAGTATCGTTTGTATGGTGCTTAGTCGTCATAAGTATCGGTTGAACAATCGAGCCGTTTGGAAAATCTCGGGCAGTGAGGCATGAAACGCAACTATATGCAACTGTAGATGTTGACAAAACATTCGTACTAAGTTGTGCGCCAACTTAAATCAAATGTTCACTTGATGTTCTGTTTCGCGAGCAGAGGCCGGCGAAAAATGTTATGCACAAAGCGTTGACGCGGCCGTCATAAATGTTTAGCCTATTATGCCGCTTTGTATATTGCACATGGCGCCTGGCTTCTCTTGAGGCTTAGCCGGTGTTGGTGTCCGTGATGAGAGATCGCGGAATTCTGTATTTAGACGGACTGATCGTATATATTTGTCTCATGTCCAAATATTGGCCATCCTTTCCCTTCGAATGTTGTATTGATCGATTGTACAAATCTCAATTAATTGTCCATACCCTTCTTGTTGAATTTGGTTAAACAATAGACGAGTAAATTTTGAAATATCAAAAAGAATTATCACTTTTATCAGAGATCTTTCAAGCGTCATGCTTATACTGTATCATATTCGATCAATGAACGATTTGGCTAG